GCTAGCTGGTTGGCTGTTTTGGCGACGCGCAGTCTGAAGTCCTTTTTCTGATTGTCTGACAGTTTTTTTTTTTTGTGTATGGCCTGCTGGCCAGCGAGAAAATATCGCAGCATACTTTCTTTTTATTCTTTTTCCACTTTTTCAGTTTTTCTTCTTTTTTTTTTCTCTTTTTTTGGATTTGTTGGTTGCGCTTTATTAATGAACATGGCGCGCAGCGTGTCAACAGCGTGTAGACGGCGGGCAGGAGGGGGCAAGCACAAATACAATGTATAAATATTATGTAAACACGCAAACAATGAAGTGATTTGTTGCTACTTAAATTTAGCCCCCGAGAGTGCGCCAGCCACAACAACAAGAACAGTGCCCAGCACTGAATTTGTAAGCTTGGTGGCTGTTTTGGAGGGACAAGCGACAGCTAAACGATGGTTAGAGGTGAGGTGGGTCTAAGTGGTGTTGTACGTAGGCAGCTACTGTTGTCGGTTTACTTTTGGCTGCGGCTGCTGCTGCTGCTGCTGTTGTTGCTGCTGCTGCTGTTGTTGCTGTTGTTGCTGCCACCGCTTCGCTTAGCTGATGCTGCAACTTGAAGAAATCTTTTCATTTTTTCGCTTTCTTCTTTTCTGTTTTTTTTTTTGCTCTACTTTTACATGTGTGTGTGTGTGTGTGTGTGTGTGGAAAAACTTGAATAAGTTGCCAAAGAAAGCCGATGAAAAAAAGAAAACGATTTGAAAGGAAAAATGTAGCCAGGCAGCGCTTGTCGAGCGCAGTCGCTGTAAAAGTAACTAAACAGTGCCCAAGGCGTTCCAAATACAACAACAAAAACATATATATAGAGAATAGGAGCCCTAACAGTTTCTAGCTTGTTTACCAACACTTAAACAGTAAACTGGCTGACGGGCTGCCTGCTGTGCGCGATAAGCAATCCAGCGAGACGCCGAACCGAAAGATGAGGCCTCAAACCTTGGCTAGAAGCCCGGCTACTAAAATTGATGCCCTCACCTGCACCAGTGGCCATGTTTGTGGCAGCCTGTATTCTATATATATATATATATATATACATATGTTTGTTGTACTCACATTTTATATGTGCACTACTCTGCCGTAAATCAGAGCGCCAGCGTAGAGCAGTTATTGTTCCTAGATGTGTTTTATGCCTTGTGGAACTCAACTTACACTTAAAGGCTTGCCAATTGCTTAAGTCATAATTTGCGATAACAACATATTCACAGTCACTTTTAATAGTTTATTTTGAAGAAAATTAACTTAGATATTTTATTATTTAGCCAGAACTTGATAGTTTTGCTCAGCATTCAAAGCTTTTTTGATTCATTTTAATTTGTATTTGAATATGAGTTGCTGAGTTCAAAATGTGAATATAAGTTCTTGTATACCACATGAATATCAAGTATATCTAATTTGTTCGATAATATATCGATATAAATCGATTGTTCTTAGCAATAAACGACGCAATCATTCAGATTCTGTTAACCAAAACTTAATATCAGCTAGTCACATTCATGTCAAACTAATATATGAATATAATCAATAATACGCAGATGATTTCAGTTTCGTTTAGAACAATTAATATACGTATATATATAAGTCGTGGCTTGCAGTATTTTTAAATTTAGCTCTTTCAACTAGAGCATTATAAATTGTCTTCAATTTATTCTAGGTTAATCAAGTTTAGCTGCAGATTTTCCTCTCACTCACAGTTGTGGCAGGTGCGCCTTTGCTACACTTAATTCACTTTAATTTCCTCTCGGTCCAGTTACCATGAGCGCACTTTCATCACTATATATTTCCCCCCCAACTCAACCCACCCCTGCCAACCTATCCCTAACCCCACTGCTGTATTCTGTGCGGAAAAAATCATCCATCCACCTGGTTGGCAGTCTGTCAGGCACTTTTTGTTGTAATGCAATTTCAACAAATTAAAAAGTAGTGCGTGGTTATTTTGCTACCAGTTGACGATGTGTGTTGCTGCGTGTGTTGCTGTGTGTTGCAGCAACGACAGATATGAGCCACATGCAAGTTGCACGCTACATGATCAACAGCGGGCATTACAAATTGAACTTCAGAATAATAATGCGATAATAATGACAAACCAATTACTCAGCTGCAGTTCTAATTTAATTAGAATATAACCCATAAATTGCCTTTACCCTTACAACTGACGAACTGGCTGATTGACTGATGGACTGATGGACAAGCGCACTTGAGCGAAAGCAAAAATAAAGCAAAGCCATTCCAATTGCAGGCTTGAGCTACTTGAGCCTGTCCTTAACCGTGCAGCTCGTTAGTGGTGGCCGTTGTTATTGATGTGGCAGCTGCAACTTTTACGGCTGTTGGCTGCTCCTGCTTCTTGTTGTCGTCGTAATACAGTTGTAGCTGTAATTCCTGCTCATTCTTAAATCATTTCTGATTATAATTGAATTTGAAATGTTATCGGACCAACCGAGTGGCTCAATTTTATAGTAACTGCTTCCATTGTGCATTTCTATTATACCCACAAAGTATTATGTCTATTTCTCTATTTTTCTTTCTTCTCTTCATTTTGTTGTTATTCCTTGCTACCTGACATTGGCGTCCTCTCAACAATGCAACAATGCAATAGCAATAACAGGTCATGTCGCCTGTGGCAGCTGCATTGTGTAACTCGTTGGCAATGAGAGAGGCAGAGTTGAAACTGTGGCGCGTGTTAGTTAGTCTCTATGTGTTTGGATGTGTAGACTGCTGTGCAAATGCGTGCCATAATTGTGCATTGAATATAATCATAATCATATCCATCAAAATTGCGCAAGCGGCGCACTCAAAAGCCACTCAATCGTCAATTCAGTCAATCTGTGAATCAATCAGACTGCCAATCAATACTCAGTGCACTCCACTCAATCAATTGAAGCGTGCACAAAGATTAAATTATCTATTAAAAATGAAATGCCAATTTCGTTTTTAGCTTATTAACCATAATACTAATTATATAATATATATTTCATTTGCCATTCTCGTTGACTTTAAATCGAGCTTAGCGAATTCATTTGGAAAACATTTAAGGTTTAGTTGAACAATTATCAACAGTTAACAATCGATAGAAGCTTGTCAAGCTTGATTTTATATATTGTGTAGCTGTTATAGGTACGATTGGCCCAAAGATGAGTTATATAAATGTACAGTTAAATTTAGATGTTGGCCATTTGACTCCGGTCTGCAATTGTTTGTCTCGATGTTTTCCTGTTTTCTGCGGATGTTGCTAGTTATGATATCTTAATTTTTGTGGGATTGAAGTAACGATTCGAATTCAATTAAAGAATTGCATAAATCTCAGTATTCTCTATTTTCTATGCCATTCTCCCATCTGTCTCTCTATTATTCTCTTCTGGTCTTATGCTGGTGTTTGTATCTGTTTGTCAGCTAAACTCAATTTTCCGCAGCTGAGCTGAACGCGTCTCTCACTGTCTCTCTCTCTCTCTCTCTCTCTCTGTATCTCTCTGTCTCTCTCTCTATCTCAATCTCAATCTCAATCTCACTCGTATAAAATTAGTGTAAAATTAAAGCGAATCGAACCGAACAAGTGAAGAACTAATTACGAAACGAGTTTCAAATTCGAGAGAGAAAAACTAGACAACAACAGCACCCACTGGATAAAGACTATATATGCATGTAACCCACCAGCAGCAGCCGATTGCAACTGCAACAATATGATTGCTACGCTCTTCATCATCTTTGCATTTATACGCGCCTTTCCCTGGAGTCGCCACCGGGCCTATGCCGCTGCACGCCAGCCGCTGGCGCTGACCCTAATGCCCGCAACAGATGACGAGGAGCAGCAGCAACAACAACAGCAGCAACAACAACATCAGCAACAGCAACCACAGTTTAACAACAACAATGGGCCACGCCCCTCCATCTCAACGATGGGCAATGGTCATGGCAGCCATGCGGAGCCCTTGCCTCGAGCTCGTCGCAAATCCTCCAAATTCCATGAAGTCACATTCAGCGGCAGCGTCGGCGGCGGCGAAAGCGATGGCGAAGCGGAAATGGGAACGGGCCGTGGAGGAGGAGGATGTGGAGGAGCAGCGTCGATTAGTCCTGGCTTGAGCAGCTCATCGATGAAGCGTCACTCGCTGAGCGCGACGAGCACGACAAGCAATTCGGGTTCATTAACAGCGACGGCGCCATATCGCATGCTGGGCAACAGCAACAGCAACAACAACAATAACAACAACTACAATAACAGCAGCAGCAGCAGATCGCGAGGATCGCGTGACTTTGGCCATGGCCAGCATGAGTATTATCAGCTGCAGGCAACGGGGGGCTCCTCCTCATCGAACGGGCGACGCGAAATGACGCAGCGCAGCGATACGATGGCCACCGAAGCGGAGGAGTTTGAGGATGAGGAGCGACCACCGCTGGACGATGACGAGGATGAGACCTATGATCGGGAAACGGAGGAGTTTTATAGCAATATACAGGATGCCGCCGGCACATCGAACAGTCGCAGCAAACGCTCCTCTCTCTTCTCCCGCTCCGATAGCTCGGCGACGACAACATCCTCGAGCGGTGGTGGCACCTTTACCGGCGGCAAACGTCGCTCAGCTGCCTCCATAATGTCGTCATCCCTCTGCTCCGATGTGATGATCGGCAGCGATCGTCGCAGCTCAACAGCGACAGAGTACAGTGGCAAATCGATGGCTGGCTCGGTGCCGGTCAGCAATCAGCGCCGATCCAGCGGTCGCATTCGACGCTACGTCTCCCGGATGACCATCGCGGGAGCGAGGCGTCGCACAACGGGAAGGTAATGAATCCTAACATTGTTTCAATCCACTTGCTGTACACCACACTTGTCTCTCCATTCAATTAACTTAATATCTCCCTCCCTCTCTCTACATCTATTTCTCTCTTCGACTTTCTCCAATTTATGTATTAGCAAAATAAAAAGAGCAAAGCTGGCAAAGATTAATTGCCACTGTTTTCTATGTTTAGGTAGTCTTAATCTTACATACTTCAATCTAAAACTAGTCTTCTTTATTGAAGTCAATCTGTCAATGATGCAATGCAATTGTGCTAATTTTGAAATGGAATTGATTAGGATCCGTTCTCTTGCTGCCACTGCTCGTGTTTGGCCAGCAGCTTTATGCCCAGCGGCTTAATCTGTTTGAAGGCCCGCTCAAGCGTTGCCTCCTGATTGGTGTCCGGTTTAGTTGTTGTCGTTGTCGTTGTCTCCTTGCCACCGCGTGTGGCACAACGCATTCGCTGCATGCAGATCTCCTTGCAGGCGAGACGAATCTCGTCACCTGTAAAATGCTCGGATTGCCGCACCAGCAGCTCCAGCTGTCGTCCACTCAAGCTGACAGTTGAGCCGAGCAGACGTTGGATGAGTGTGGTGCGTTCGGCGGCGCTGGGCAGCTGGATGAGTAGCTTCTTCTCGAAGCGACGCAGGAATGCCTCATCGATGTCCCACGGCAGATTCGTGCTGGCCAGCACAAAGACACCGCTCAGCGTATGCTCCATGCCATCGAGCAGTTGCAGCAGCTCGTTCTTGAAACGCTTCGATGACTCATGATCTGTCGATCGATCGCGTCTCGAGGTCAAGCTCTCAATCTCATCGAAGAAGATCACCGATGGTGCCCGACGTGCCGCCATGTGGAAGAGCACACGCAATATCTTCTCCGATTCGCCGCGCCACTTGGACACCATAATGCTGGCCGTAATATTGAAGAATGTCACAATGCCACGTGTCTCGGCGTAGAGGGCTTTGGCCAGAAAGGTCTTGCCACTGCCCGGTGGACCGTGCAGCAGCAGTGAACGCCAGGGCTTCAGGCCATTGATAAATAGCTGCGGATACTCGATGGGCGTGAGGACAGCTTCCTTGACCAGCTCGATGGGTCGCTGATTGCCGCAGATGTCCGACCAACGCAGCTTGATGTCCTCGCACAGAATGCTCGTCTTAACGAGCTCTGCGAGCGATTGCCATTCCAGTGAGTCAAACAGTGCATCATCGCCCGCATGTCCATGCTCGATTTCGCTTAGTGCATTTAGACGTCTGACGGTGTCCTGCGTTGCCAACGTTTCGCCAGTCTCCATTTTTTTCACATGCAACGGCAAACTGCTCGCCTTTAGCTGTCCACCCAGTTGCCCCGCTTGCCCCGTATCCGTTGTCAAACTGGCAGCGGCAGCTGCTGTGGTAGCTCCAATGCCCGCATGCCAACATGCCTGCTGCTGTGACTGCAATTGGGTTTGTGACTGCGACCCAGTCAACGGCAACGGCAACGGCAACTGCAACTGTGACTGCAACTGTGACTGCGACTGTGAATGCTCTTTGAGAATAGGCTTCGTTGTCGAGTTGAGCTCCAGCTTGAGTTTGGGCCCCATTTTCTTGAGTATGCGAGGATATTTACCAAACTTCATGTTGAAGAAGCTCGCATACTCCAAATAGATGGCGTCCAAGTCAATATTGTCGCACAGCTCGTACTCTTCGGACAGCTTCCCCTCGCCCTTCAGCGCCTCGGCAGTGCCATAATAGCCATTCTCCTGCAAATAGCGGTGCATCAAATACAGCAGATTGCGACGCCTTGTGGTAAAGTTGCGCACATCCTCGCAGAGGGCAGTTGAGGCAGCTGTCGCTGAAACGCCATATTTGGTATGTGGTTTCATCTGGCAACTTAACCAATCAGTAGCCGCAGCAGATAACTGTTGTATCTTTCCGTGTAGTTGTTGATTGCCACAATGTTTACCAAAAGACAATGAGTTTGTAAGACAACAGTTAACTACGTTGTCGACTGCTGCTGCGCTGCCAACGAAAACTATAGTTTCTCATCGAAATTCGCCGTTTAATGTTATTGACAGCAATCACATTGTTTGCCTGCTTCAAACAGAGTTGTCATAACAAAATTGGAATATTTGGGTTGCCAGGCAACAACAACTACGCAGCAACTTGGCAACCATCAAATATATATGAGTTAACAATATATCAATTAAAATATGATAGTAAGATTTAAATCTAATAACGAATTCATATTTTAATGCATATATTTCTTTTAGAAATCATTTGACAAAAGTGAATTAAAAATGTTCTCGTTCTTTATAAATTTTATAAAAATGGCAAACCACTTTTTATGTTCCTTACTTAATGACTAATTTCTTTCTCTGTTTTTTTTTATATTCTTTTTTTTTGCATATATAATTTGTTGTTCAATTGGGGCCACTGTGCGTAACGGCACGTTGCCATTAGCTGCAATTTACCGGCTGTCGTCAACACTGCGGCTTCCGACAACTTGCGAAAGCTGCAAAGAAATGTGCCTGGGATACATTCTGATTAGTGGTGGATAGATATTATTCGATCTGCTGTTCTGGCATCTGTTCAGCTGCCACGATCCGTGCGTCAAATGTGTGTGTTTCTTGTACCAATTAAAAATGAGCAGAGCATGAAGAAGAAACACTAAAATAGCATTAACAACACACTCAAATACCCTTCTTCAAATTCTATTTGAAAGATCAAAAGCATTTGATAACAAACAGAGTTGTTCCGACAGTAAATTATGTCATTCGTATTGATATAAATATGGAAAAAAAAGGTTTTTTTTTATAGATTTGTAAATCTTTGCCAAGACATATTCGAGGCAATTGCATACTTAAGAATGCGTTTAGTTGGCAAATTTGTTTGCTCTACTTAAGTTGCCTGATTGCCAAAAAATTGCTTGCTCAATTTATTTATTTATTTTATTTATTTATTTTGTTGTTTTTTTTTTTTTTTTATTTTGGCGTGCTTAATCAGCGACAGCTGGTGCAATGGTTAATCAAATATGCGACGCAATGAAATGCCAATCCACGGCCTGTTTTTTGCTATATTTTCTTCGTCAGCCCAAAAACGCATCAGTTGTCTGCTTTTTCTTTTTTGATGATGATGATGATGATGCTGTTGCTGTTGCTGTTGCTTTGCAAATTATGCAACATGCATATGCAGCACATGGCAGAGTTCTGCGTTCCCCTTGCCACGTTGACAAGCCCATCAGCACTTTGCCTTTTAGAAAGAAGAAAAACACACACACACATCCACAGCCAAGGTAGCTTCAAGGCGACGGCGACTAAGGGGAACGAGTGTGGAGAAAGTAGGTGCGTGTGTATGTGTGTGTGTGTGTGTGTGTGTGTGTGTATGTGTGTATGTGTGTATGTGTGTGTGTGAGTGTGTGTGTGTGTGTGGCATGACCGATGCCATGATGATTATGCTGTAGTGTAGTGTATCTGTGCTCATTTCATATCGCACTCTGTTCACTCGCACTTTTAATTTGGTTTTCACACACACACACGCACACACACACACATACACAGAGCAACGGCAATGGCAGTCAGCGCCTCCAGCAGCCCAAATCTTTTGGAGATCTCTCACCACAACGCTTCACCGCCCCATCTCATCTCTGCTGCTTTTAGCTTCGCTCTGCAGTCAGTTTCAGGCTTTTGTTAATGGCCTTGTGATAGTTTTGCTTTTTCCACACATACATGCATATTTCTCTTTGTGTGTGTGTGTGTGTGTTTGTGTTGCCTCAAAAGCAGCTGCCACACAAGTGCTGCATGTGTCGTTGGATTGGTTTTTCGGTTTCAGATTCAGTTTCATATTCAGTTGCAGTTGCTGCTGTTGCTGTTGCTGTTGCTGTTTCTGTTGGGAATACTCTGGCCAAGGTTGTTTTTATCATGCATTCAATGAATTCATTTCATTGGCCTTTGAGCCAGTGCATTAGTGTTAAATACTTCAACTACCACTACCATTACTACTACAACTACTACTGCGACTGCTACCGCTTGTGGCACAAATTAATTATTTATTTTCTTCACTCAACTCGATGAATTAATCACTCATCACGAGTCGAGTGGAGGCGAGCAGAAGGCTAAAAAAAGAATCAGCTGGAACAAATTAAAAATATTAAAAGAAGAAGGCAAAACAGCTGAGCTAATCTAAGCTAAGCTAAGCTAAGCAAAAGCGAAAGCAAAAGGCAAAATAATTGAATAAATTTAAAGTCAAGTGGGTGGTAGGTGGTGGCTGGTGGCTGATGGTTGGTAGAGTTACTGGGTGGCTCATCAGTGCGACTTAAGCGTGTTGCACAGTTCAACGCTTCAAGTCGCCAGCAGCTGAATGCCATAAAGCGCCAGAAAGAGAGAGAGAGAGAGAGACACAGGGATAAAGTGGGGTAGAGCCGTTGTCATAGTCAGTGTTGTGGCATGTGTGGGTGGGGTGTGTGTATGTGTAGGTGTGGGTGGGTGGGGTGTGCGGGAGTGGTGTGTGGAATATGTGCCCTGTGGCTGTCGCTCCTTATGCGCCTAATTATATGTGCAAATAAATGAACGACCCAAACTGATTGTGATGAGTGTCTCATTGCGTGTGTGTAGGTGTGTGTTGTAGTTATTGTGCGTGTGTGTATGTGTGTGTGTGTGTGTGTATGCTTATGTGTTTGGCATAGATTCAAATACTAGCTACATATATGCATGTGGCTGTAAGGCGCTAAGCTCCAAAACACCACAGCTTAATTAGTTTGTTAAGAAAGAAGTAGCTGGATGTGAAATGATTAACTGACTGACTGACTGACTGACTGGCTGACTGACTGGCTGACTGACTGACTGACTGACTGGCTGACTGAGTGAATGAATGTATAACCCACTGACAATGCAAACTTTCTCTTTCTGAGTTGACATTTTAATCAGCAGCAGCCACTGAAAGCATACACAATGTATTCAATTCGCTGGCAAATAGTATTGTGTGGCAAGCATGTTAAATGAAATGAACTTTGTCGAGTTGCCAATGAACCACCAAAATAAAAAGCGGAAAGCAATACAAAAAATAGGCAAAAAAAAATGACCAAAAAACCCAGCTAACTAAACACAAAACTGTGGCTGTGGCCCCCCTGTCTCTCACTCTCTCTTGCTCTCTTTCTCACTCCCTCTCTCTCTTTCTTTTTGACCTGCACATTACTTTGAAAAGTGCTAAAAAGTATGCTATGGTAAATGGCGACATTGTTGCGCACAATAACAGCAACAGCCGCAGAAACAGCAGCAGCAGTCGGAGCAGCAGCAGCAGCAGCATAAAGAACTAAAAGAAACAGTCAACAGCAAGAACAGCAACAGCAACAACAAGAACAACAACAAGCCACCGTCAACTTTGTGCCAAGTTTACTTAATGACCCCGATATAAATTTTACTTAAAACATCATTTTTCTTTACGACTTTCGCTGCCAAAAGTGCGGCCTTCAAGTCGCTGTGCTAGGCTAGTGGTTGTGTGGTTGTGTGGCTGTGTCACTGGTGGTGGCAAATGGGCAACAGGAGCCACAATATAACAGTAGGAATAAGAAGACACAGCTGCGTCCCAAAAGTAGCAAGTTCCCCATGGCGACCAATCAAAACTTACTGGACGATGGCAGCTGTTTTTGCTTGTGAAAGTATTTTCTTTAATTATGACAATACTCTTAGATTGATGCCAGTTACTGGTTACTTGGTTTTAGTAGTAGTAGTTCTTCTTCTTCTTCTTGTCTTATATTTTATGGTGTGGTATGTGTGAAGGTGTGTGTGCTGCATTTGCCCATCACAAACACCATCCAAGTATTCAGTTAGCAACTTAACTGCAACTTTAACTTGTCAACTCAATAAATTTGTATGTGCCACAAGTAGTTTGGGTGCCATTTATTTTGTGATGCTCAGCAAATTTGTGTAATCAGCTTTTATGCCTGCTCGTTATCATCTACAAGAATGCCCAATGGCAATAGTTTAAGCAAAAAAAAGCTAATGTCTTGATTTTTTCAGCCATTGAGGCGCCTAGTCTAGTGGTTGGGCCTGCTTGCCAACTTGATCCTTGCAAATCTCAGGAACTTGATCAGTGTGGCAACTTTGGCGCAACTTCATGCCCCCCAGAAAGAGAAAGAGAGAGAGGGGGAGTGAGAGAGAGAGAGATAGATAGAAACACGCATCTCACTCACTTCACAATGGTGAAGTCAACTTTCAGCAAGTTCTCAATAAACTGGTCTACATTCGGTTGGAGTTTAGCTTGATGTTTATTGTAGTGGCAGTGGCAGTGGCAGCAGTGTGGTTGGCGGAAGGTGGACGACTACATTTTTCGCCGAGTTGGCGCAAAAAGTTTTCAGAAGCAAGACGATGATGCCGCAGACAAAGCAAAAGCCGAACATAAAACCAAAGGGCGAAAATGTCTAACGAATTGAAAAACTTTAAAAACGTCTTGTTAGGCGCGCTTCTGTTTCCTGCTTCCTGTTGGTTGTCGACGCTGTTGTATCTAAACCCAATCGCCCCTCAGCCCCTCAACCCCTCGCTAGCTAACTTAAATGCTGCTCTCAGGCCACTTGATTTCTGGCCTGTCTCCCAGTACTACTTTTGGTGCTGAAAAGTTTACTTGGCGTGTGTACTGTCAAGTCAACTTGGCCGTCAGCCATATATAACATGACTCAAGTTTGGCCTAAAAACGTCGACTCTCAATTTTGCTTCTTTTTTTTTTTTTAAATAACTAACTAAGTAACTCAACTAGCTTAACTGAAGAAACTAAACAAACTGTTCAACAACTAATCAATGCTTGAATTGCTTTGAATTCATTTGCAGTTTCGATGTAGAAAATGGCCAGGGCGCCCGATCACCGCTTGAGGGCGGTTCACCCAGCGCTGGTTTGGTTCTACAGAATTTACCGCAACGTCGCGAATCCTTTCTATATCGTTCCGATTCGGACTTTGAGATGTCACCAAAGTCAATGTCCAGGAACTCAAGCATTGCTAGCGAAAGGTAAGTAACGCACTAAATACAATGAATAACTATATAGAAGACTGATTATATATAGATTTATTGGTTTCTTGTCTCCAATAATCATTTGTCGATTGATCTCGAATACTGGTTGCATTACATTCGATTTATCCAAAGCGATAGATATTCCGTATCAATATTATTATGTGTCCTTTTTTTCGAATCTCTTTACAAATATGCTTTTTGTTTGTTCAACAATTTTCACAATATTTAACATCAAATCACCACAATTGACACAGACACGTTCTTTCCATGAAACTCATAATACATAAATAGTATTTGACTCTTGGCCACTACTGCTCCTTTCATATCAACAACACAGACACTTTTATCACAATTATCGCTAAACATCAAAGTACAATCATCAAAATCAGAATTGAGGTGTTCTGTGACGACAACTTTGGCCACGGCAGTTGCTACGACTACAAAGCTCTGTAGACAACCCTGACTCTGACTATTGCTAATACTTAAACCAATTTACCTGCTGTGATTAATATAACTTGGCTCAATAAGACTTACGCTACGAATCTCTCTCTACTTTTCTAAATGCTACTTTTACTGCTTAATATTTAGACAACTGATACTATTACTAGAACTACTGCTACTATTCTTACAGCAACTACTACTATTACTACAACTACTGCTCCTATTCTTACAGCAGCTACTACTATTTCTACGACTACTGCTACTATTCTTACAGCATCTACTACTATTACTACAACTACTGCTACTATTCCTACTGCAACTACTACTATTACTAGAACTACTGCTACTATTCTTACAGCAACTACTACTATTACTACGACTACTGCTACTATTCCTACTGCAACTACTACTAATACTACTACTAATTCTACTACTACTACTACTACTATTGTGACTTCTATTATTTTTATAAAAATTTGCACAACTAATATTTATAATGCAAGTACTACTAATGCTTATACAATTCCTATTATTTTTTACAAATACTTCAAATACTTTTACTACTATTTCTACTACTTCTTCAACTATACACCAAGTATTTATGTACATACACATACACATACATATGCTACTGCTATCTACGAATATCTGCTTCCGTTTATTACTACTTTTCCAATTTTCTGATACTTCTACAGCCATGCTCGAAGCATTTCTACTTAAGCACCTTCTTCCTGCCAACCATTACTAATTTACGACCCATTTTTGGTCAGCTGCCTTATCTATTTGTGTCCATGTGTGGGTGTATGTGATGTTATTCACTTGGCATCTGAACGTTTTTACTGCCAACTTGTATGTGTATCCGAATGCGATACTGTTACTAATTTGCAGCATCTGTTGCTATTGTCTGACTGCCTGCCTAACTGCCTGCCTCCTTGGTGCTTCAGCTTCCTTTTTTGAGAATGCTGCAACTAGTCGCAATGCCACACCTTAGCTACATGTATGTAGTCATATAAAAATATATGTGCATGTGGTTGTGCCATCATTTGCGGTATTTCAGGCACATTGCCATATTTCAATGGCATTGCAGCGACGCCTCTTTCTCCCTCTTGCGAGCAGCTCGAGCAGAGTTGGCATCATTTGATGGTAGCCCAGAGACGCCTCTAGCTGATGACATTTCTCGAATTCATAGCAAGCATTTTTGCCAAATTTAGCACTGCCCCTTTTTGGCATCAATTCGTGGTCAGCAGCAAGCAGCAGTTCCGCTCCTAACTTGTCTCACCCAATTTATATGGACTGTGTGTAACTCTCTAGCTCTGCGGTTTGGCGTCAGCTGCTGCTCTGTGCGCTCTGTCGACCGTTAACTATCCGGATTTTGGCCATTGTTGCTGTTGTGAGCGTTGTGTAGTGAAAGGCAGCAGTTGCAACTTTTTGTGTGTGATTATGCAAAGTCAGGCAGAAACAGAATTTTCCGTTTCCGACTTCAATTAGTTAGTCAAAGTTGCCAACTTATACTACACTCATCACTCGCACACTCGCTCCACCTGTGGCCCAACCACATACATTCATAGACGCACATACATATACATATGCATACATCATACATCATAAACATCATACACATGCACAAATATAATCAAACATTTTGCAACTGGAAGGCGGACATGCAATTATATTTATTGTATTTTTAATTTTTTTCTTGTTTTTGTGTCTCGACGCCACTTTGCAATGCATTCAAATAACAATAACAAAATAATTACACAAAACAAAACAAAATGAAATGAAATGAAATGAAAAGATCAGGTAGGGTAAAGTAAAAACAGATTCGAAAGACTCACACCATATGGAATTGGCTGGGTGAATGCAACCTTGAGTCGAGAAGCATTTTACAGCTATTTTTACACGAGTTTTTGGCTCTCGACGCGTCGTCTGTCGCCTGTCGTCTCTCGCCTGACGCTCGCACATCGCACGTCGCACATCGCTCATAGGCCAAAATGCTAGAATGCTATAAGTATCGCACAAATCGCAGATGAAAAATTGCAAAAATATTTGGACCGCAAAAACACTTAAAAAGCACCCAAATACAAATAAAAACAACAACCGATTGCCCATCACGTATACCCACTACAAACATACATATTTATTCACTATTCAAGTAGCACAGAAAACTAAAACAAAAAAAAAAGAAGAAGGAAAATAACATTTGGCACCGAACTTTCAATACACTTTTTCCAATTTGACAAATTGTTGGCTAATGTTAACTATTATCTTAAAATACATAAATGCGAACAAACCAGCAGCGATATTTACTTCAATAGCAGATACAATTTAGAAATTCTCTTCCAATTCCATTTTCTTTTCGAAGAGCAGCTTTGTGCACTATTTTTGAACATAGCTAAAAGGTTTCCCATCACGTTAATGACTAGAAAGCTAAAGATATCTATTATAACTTGGGGTTTATATTTATTCAGAGCTTTGTATTTAATACAGAATATATGTCCGCTTCATGTGACTTATACTACGCGATTCAAGCGACCAAAAGCGACTGACTCTTACTTCATGAAAGTAGCTTAAACATAGCATCGAAGAAGGTCTTGATCATAAGGAACTTACAATTACCGTTGCTCGCAGGCAACAACAGACTAACACTACAAAACGGGAATGCAAGACAAGCTGCGGTGTACAAAGGCAAATACAGTTATTTCCAATAATATAGTTAAAATAGAATTTGCAAATTTTTGCGTAATATGCGAACATGTTCCAACATCTTTGGCCATTTCAAATATATTTTACATCAAGAACCTGATTACGATATTTAGTTTACATTTCATGTACTCAATCTTAACATAAAACAAATTAAACAGTCGATTTTGAAGTCAAAGTAGAGTTTTTTCCCGATTTTCTTTAAACTACAAAAGCAAAACTGAGGAAATGCTCGTATGTTAAATAAAAATGCGATGAAAAGGCTAATCAAATGTAACGGATTATTGGAAGAACAAAAGCGGTAAATGTTTTATGTGAGGTCCAAAGAATTTATGGTAACTAAGGTCAGCAACTGAAACCTTGTAAAAAGCCATGTTCTGCTCAACTTAACAGCAAAAGTTTTGGCAAATACCAAAAGTAGCCAAGCCTATGACTTTCAGTTATGCAGCCCAAATGCTAAGCTGTGAAATGTGTGCCATTAATATTATATAATCTAGTAGCGTATATGTACACACATATACATATGTACATATGTATATATGTCTATATCTATATATAACAACTATATGTTGTTGTTGCTTTTGAGTCAAAGCAAAAGTGTCCTTGTGTCACAAATTGCTGGCTAAAGTTAGATATGCCCCCAAGTGCAGTGGCCCCAGGCGCTGTTGCTAGAAACATAAAAACGATTTAATTATACATAGTTGAAATAAATATTTTCGGTATTTTTGGCATTTTTTGGCTCCCTTTTCGGCCATTTGGCAGCGACAGCAACAGCAACAGCAACAGCAACACCAACACCCACAGCAAACAGCAACAACAACAGCAACAACAACAACAGCAGCAACAACAGCAGCAACGCAATTTGCATTTATATCTTTTGCTTTGTTTTTTTTTTCTTTTTTCATTTCTTTGCTCTGCCTATTTCGGCCTGACTGGGCCAGGCCAAAAAGTTTTTGGGTCTGCTTTAAAGTTTTCGGCAGGCTTCTAGTTACACTGCAGCCCCTCTAAAGCACCCGTCGACCGTCGGCCGTCGACCGTCTTCTTAACGTATTCCGGGGCTTGTTCGCTGCGTTTGCTTTCAATCAACTTGAATATTTTCGGTAAGACATATCGCAGTTCCCTCGTCTGCCAGTCTGCCACTTTCAAACAATGTTGTTGATGAGCCTGTCAATTGCACACTAGCAAACACACATACACACACACACACACACACATACCTATAAACGCTGGCAGTGACTGGTCCCAGCTTAGCTGTCATGACAACCAAAAACAAGCAAGTTGAGTGAAAATTTCATAAAGATTTCAACACTAATAACAAATAATTAGCTGACTGGCTGCGGCTGGCAAATGTCAAGGCCAACGAAATGAATTGAAACGAAACAAAATAATACACAAAACAAAACAAAATAAAAACAAAAAAAACAAAACGAAACGCAACGCAACGAAATGAACCAAAAGCAACAATTCAATTTACTATCACACTGACGGCTATGAATGCGCCAGATAAACAAATGAATACAACATGAGTAGCACTGCCACAGCCACTGCCACTGCCACTGGCACTTTAAGCACCACACATTATTCAAACTGTAGAAATTTGCGATCTAACTGGGATCGACTTGACTGAGAGCAACTCGAAGTAGCTGCTGTCTGCTGAATTCTACTCGATCATAAAATCCAAATATAATCAATCCTATGTCAAATTATTGCTATAGCCAACCAATGCTTTGAGATAGAAGCATTCGATATTTTTGAAAATTAGAAATATAACTTTTTAAATCACGTTTCATTTATCAGAATTATTCAAATCTTAGTAATCATACTCCTTTGTGGACTGCAGGCCATGTTCTGTTCGTCTTCAATCTAATCTCAAAAATCAATGCAAAACTGCAGACACTTATATATATATATATATGTATATATATTACCTGGCTTATCTTTTATCCGGTGTCCGAGACAAAAAAGCTGGTGCCACAATCGGTTGTCAGTTGTTGTTGTAAGTGTGGCATGTTGAGAAGTTGCATTACAGAAGCATTGCTCTCAAATCCTTCGATTGTTATTGAGCAGCTGACAATCAGGATCCATTAATGGATATGCCAAAGTGCAAAGGTCGAATTCAAATCCGAGAGCCGCCCAATAGTCGAAGCCTTTCAGGCGTTATTGTATTGTGTTCTGTTGGTTCTTCTTGCTGTCAAATGCTGTCAAAGCAGGGCACAAAGGGCAAAGGGCAACCGAGCAGAGCAGGTGTTGTCAGGTCAATTGTTGGACATGCAGCATACACCGCAACACAATATACAAACGAACACACACACAAACAAACAAACAAACAAACACACACAAACAGACAGACAGATAGACAGACAGACAGATAGACAGACAGAGCACATGCAAATGTCGTTGAAATTTATACGTTTTAAATTGCAACTTGCAACTTGCTGCTTGCTACTTGCTGCAAACTAGCTGCAAGGCTCTGTGTGTGTGGCAGGCAGGCGCATCGGCAACAATTTTAAAGCCAAAATAAACACACTTTGCTGGAAGGCAGGGCTAGTGGCTAGTGGGCGGTGTGTGTGTGTGTGTGTGTGTGTGTGTGTGTGTGTGTGTGTGTGTGTGTGTGTGCTGTTGTGCTTGCTGTTGGCATTTGCGAAAAGTTTAAAATGCAAGTCAGAGACAATGTTGTCATGTGAATGTGCCTGAGTGTATTTGGTATATTTTTAAATGTCAACACTTCAACTTCGCCTTTCGTGTTGTTGTTACACTCCTTGTGGCAATTGTTGCCAGTGTTGTTGTTGTTGCTGTTGTTGCAGTTGTGACGTGCGCATCACAATGACGTCATGTGCCACAGCTAACTGAATCAGCGATTCGCTTATCTATCAATTGCCGAGGGGTCATTGCCGTCGCATTGTCTGCGTCAGCAGTGTGTACAAGCGCTTGCTTATGCAACAAGGCACATTCCAACCATTCCAGCTCTTACACACACGCAGGCACACACATACACACACACACTCACACACACACACACACACACATGGGCACTTAACAGTCGCACGTGATGTCTCAATGAAGCAGCTCAAATCCCATTTGCTTTTCATTGCATACCCTCAGGGCGTCATACACACATTCACACACACTCGCACACACACACACACACACACACTCATTTACACAATTTATGTTGATTTTTCATTTGCATTTAGCTCAACCATAAAATAAGCGTCAATTATTTGTGCGAAATATATAAATTAAAAACAAACAAAATTTTTGGCCGGAAACTCACCCAATTAAAATGTGAAAGAAAACAAAAGAAAAGAAAAGAATCGAAACGAAAAGAAAAGAAACGAAACGAAAAAAAATAAAGACAAACAAAGGCGAAAAATAGAAATTCGTTGAATTTCCTTTTCTCCTTTTATTTTGTGTACGTTTTATTTTTATGTTAATTGTTGTGTGTTGCAACTCGATACTTGATAATCGATACTTGTGTTCTTCTCGTAATTGTTTTACCTCTATCTACTACTACTACTACTACTACTACTACTACTATTACTACTTAGCCTACTACTTAGCCTACTATCTACCTATCTCTTATGATTGTTATTTGTATTATCGTTGTTTATTATTGTAACCCTTTTGCAGGTTTAAAGAACAGGAGGCCTCTATACTCGTTGACAGATCGTACGTATGCCCAGTTCTCTCTCTCTCTCTCTCTCTCCCACTCTTTCTCTCTGTCTTTCTCGCTCTCTCTCTCACTCTCTCACTCTGTCCAAATCTATCTGTCTTTATTTGTCCTATGCATGCCTATTTGTGACTTGTTTGCCTCATTTGATCCACACAAACTGACCAATCCACACTTGTTGTTTGCCTTATTTATCTGCATGTCCATATCCATGTCATGTTGTGTGTGTTCTTGTTGTTGTTGTTATTGTTGTTGTTGTTATTGTTTGTTGTTGTTATTGTTTGTTGTTGTTATTGTTTGTTGTTCCCATAAAACACACATATTTATTGTGCATGCTTTGATAAGAGAACCATTATTATTATTTGAATTTCTTTTCTTTTGCAATATTCGCTTTCAGACCACTGTAAATTTAAGTGTACGCAATGTTCTACAATATTTGAAACAATATTTATGCCAACAATAATAATTTGACGCTATTTTATATGCATAACTTTCTTGTAAGCTACACACATACACACATCTATCTATATATTCATTTATATTTAATAACATTTGATTATATGTTGGGACTTTGATTTTTGCATTAGATTAGCTAGTAAGTTTTATCGTAAGTAATGTGCATAAATTATTACTATCTACTTAAGGCTTAACATATCAACATAATCTGCACAATCTTTTCTAATATTCTATTATTAATAATTTAAGATTTGTCTATTAGGAAAACAAATGTTCACTTGATGCAAAAATCATGTGCAACTCTTCCGGTATGCGTTGAAATGCTCGATTTTAATTTGACATTTTTCGATTTGATAACCCATGAATGAGTGTCGAGCACTCGTGAGTCAGATCACGTCACGTTGTCTTGTGTTGGCTGTGTGTCTGTGTGTCTGTGTGTGTATTTGTATGGGGGAAGCAGCTCACATGATGCTCAGCGTGTCACTGGCACAATTCGGTGAATTTTTATCCCAGTCATCATTTGTCGTTGTCGTCGCAATTAACGACGCAAAGCTGACCGAAAATACCGAGCAGGGTGCTAGGTTTTTGGGTTTGGGTCTGGCGAGCGGGGTGTGTTGTTGAATGAAAGCTGCCAAAGATGTGAAATCTGTGGCATATAGACAACAACAACAACAACAGCAACCACAACAAACTGCTTCTTCAGCAGCGTCAGTTCAGCTAATTTAAATATGAAAAACATTTCCTATTTCCTGTAGCAGCAAGTGCAAAGATGACAAACGAGAAGATGGGAAAACCCAAAAGAAAACCCAACACAATATTCGGTCGGTCAAAATGTGAAAAGGCTAAATCTCAGCAAAGGGGATGGTTGAAAGAGCTGATGCCGGTCTTGGTTTTGGGTTGGGGTTCGGGTTTGGGGCGCTGACCAGAAGAAGAAATGTCGTTGGCAAAATTCAATCAGAGGCTAGAGCGACGACACCCCGCCCCACTTGGCACCCCTTATGTTCAGCTTGTGCCCCAGTTGCCTGCCACATGCAGCGACGTTACGCTGTCGTATACGTAACGCACATATTATTCATACGCAGCGTGACACAAAAAAAATACCAGCGAGAGGGGGAGGGGGGAGGGGGTAACAAAAAAGAAGAAGAAGAAAAATAAATAGAAATGCAAACCAAATGAAATACGTTCTTTTCGCGCATTAAATTTGCCGCCTCAACTGCGACTGATGCTGCCAAACGGACAAAATTTCGCCAAAGCGTCCCAATGCAAATCACACCCAAATATGTGTGTGCCAGCTGCCGTTTATGTGTATACACACACGCACACACACACGCACACACACTCGAACACACACACAGATATGCATACATGTGTTTGTTCATGATTTTAGTGGCCTCTTGGGCTTTTAACAAAAATGCATCTCACACAAAATTTGTCATTCAGGCAAAAAATAAAATAAAAACTAATAAAAAATAAGAGAGAAGAAAATATGCTTGTCTCCATTCAATATTCTGCAAATACTCAAAGCCTTTTATGAACTTTAATCTTAATAAAGTATTCGAAATTTTTTCTGTAATTCCGATTGGATTTCTCATTTTGGGAATTTTACAGCACACTGACTAAGAAATTAAAAATATTCAAAACGAAAAAAATAACAGCAATAACATAAAATAGAATAATATTGGAAAAATAAAAAAAAAACCTGCTGTGAAAACCTGAATTCTAACGAAATTGTATATTACACAGAGCAATGGAAGAGAAACACAATCAGTAAACTTTAATCATTCTTAATATATTAATATCGACTCTTATCTTATCGAATCACGAATTTTGTTCTTTGTCTTACAAACAAAAATAGAAAAAAATGAAGCTAAACATTAATTAGATAAGCCAGCAGATAGTTTTTTTTTTTTTTTTTATTGTGTGTAGTTTTTGGATAAGCAAACAACAATGTTGAGTTTACTCTATATGCGAGGGCATATCTAAATAATGCTATTCGATGTTGATGTCTGTAAATGTTTATGGACAATTTCATCAGTCACTTGAATCGACTTCGATGCGCCCACATTGCTTGGCTGTCAGTCACGAGATTTCTGTCTGTATGCTGTATGCTGACCCAATGCCCCCATCACGAGCCAACAGTTTGCTTGAAATGTTTGCTTCTATTTATCGAGTTTGAGTGCCAGTCGTGAGTGTGTCTATATATATATATATATGTGTGTGTGTGTGTGTACACGACTTTTGTTTATTGAATGCAGCGCCACTTACCGTTCGTAGGTTGGGCGACGCAGTGGGCGGGCCAAGTCCGCGTAGTAATGCGAATGATTATCGTAATCAAGAATCGGGATTTGTGAATGAGGCATGGGGATTTGAAGATTGTGGATTGTGGATTGTGGATTGGGGATTGTGGATTGTGGATTGGGGACTGTGGATTGGGGTATGGGTAAATCAGTTGCATGAGTCGCAATTTAAATTGAAATTGGAATCAAAATTAAAATCTCAGAAGCTGCTTCATGCTGCGTATGAGTAATGTGCCCACGCCTCTTACACATGCATCTCACTCGCACTCACATTGGTTTGGTTCGGTTTGAGCAGAGGAGCAGAGGAGCAGAGGAGCACAGAAGACACACACAAGTGGGTTAGCTGAATTAAAAATTGCTCAAAATTATTATTAGAATTACGCGCGCGCGCTCATTTGCGACTAACCTGCGAGAGATATTAAAAATAAACGGTAGTAGTAAACGGTAGTAGGTAAATATAAATATGCATATTAGCATCTCTCATCATCTCTCGCTCTATCCCTCTATCCCTCTATCCCTCTATCGCTCTATCGGTCTATGTGTGTTTACTGTACTTGTGTAATGAACGTTCATTAAACGTACAGCAAACAAATGGAGATCGCTTGAAGGCAGCCAAATGGCAATTTCAGTTGAGAATTTATCAAACATTAGCGTAGCAAAGTGCGCTAAAATAAAATAGAGTATAAAAAAAGAAGAAAAAAAAAACAACAACAACAACAACAACACAAGCCAAGAAGCTAGCTGGCGAGAGCAATGTGAAGAGAGAGTGGAGTGAGCAAATGAAAATGAAAATGAAAATGAAAATGAGAGTGGGAATGAGAATGAAATTAATTTTGCGTAAGCAGAGATAGACAATCAGGTGGAGGCATAAATGATGCGCCAGAGATGATGAAAAAAATGATGATAATAATGATGTTGTCATTATGGTTGTTGTTATTATTATATCAGGCAAGGACGCCAGCTTGCCAGTCGGACATCGGATATATGCCGGTATTATAAATACAGGGTGTATCCACGTCTTGTCATCATTAAGCTTCATTTGAACTAACACGAAATACAACATTTTTATTGACCCTGTTCTCAGCCATTAAGTCTATTTCCACGTGATTTATGCGTCGACTAAGTAGAAATATATAATATTTTAATTATACTTTGTTGGTGTCATTTGCAGTAAAACTGTCAAATTTCAGATAGATCTTGAATGATAGTTGAATGTGTATTTGAAGTATTTTTGCCGTTTTGAAAATGAAAAATTCTTCAATTTATTTTTGCAATTTTTATTTTTAGAATTTGTATTTTTTGTTTGTTTTTGTTATTCCTGACACACGTGCGATATTTGTAATGCCAATCTTTCTGCTGCTCGATCAATTGATTTGTGTCAAGGCGACACCCTGTATATATTTCAACAATTGAGCAAATGTTGTACATGTTGTGTCAGTTCATCGTTGTTGTTGTTATTGTTGTTGTTATTGTTGTTGTTATTGTTGTTCCTGCTGCTGTTGAAGATGAGAAGCAAGCAAAAATTTTACGCGCGCGCAAAAAACAAAAACAACAACAAAAACTACAACAACAACAACAAGACTAGCACACAAATGATGAAAATGAAATGACACACACACACACACACACACACACACATAATGTCGCATACAGACACACATTTAATTTTATTTATTTATATTTTTTTGTTGTTGTTGTTTTTTTTTTGGGATTTTTTCTTAAGTTGAATATAATTTGTTTCTTACGTTACGTTCTACTCAGCTGATGGCTGCTGCGCTGCCAACTGTGCTGCCGGCGTCGCAGCGCTGCGCTGTCGTTTTCTACAATAATTTTTCTTCTTTTTTTTTTTTCATTTTTTTCATTTTTTTCATTTCTGAGCGTGCCGTGAGTTGTGTTGTGAGTTTTGTATTTTCGCTGGCCACGCCGCGGGACGCGCTCATTCTCGGCCAGCGCGTACTCGTGGAAAATTCAAAAAGCATTTGCGCTGTCGCCTCGTTTTTCTGTTTTCGTTATCGTTTTCGTTGTCGCCAGTCATTTCGAATAGTACCGGAAAATAGTTACTAATCAGAGAAATCGAAATCGAAGAAATTTGAATTGGAATTTGAATTGGAATTGGAAAGTGAAATTGAAATTGAAATTGATTTTGAAATCGCATTAGCCAGCGTTTTTGGCGGTTCCGGAGTGCAAGGTTCCGATGACCAACGATTGAAGTTTATTTTTTTATTGTTCTCCCGTGTGTATTCTCTGTGTGTGTGTGTGTGTCTGTGTCTGTGTGTGTGTGTGTGTGCGTGTGCGTGCGTATTTGCCACCATGCTTAACAAGAATTCAGCGTCGTCACAGTCGCTGCCGCGTGTGCACAGCTTCTTCAATATGATACCATCCATAATGCAGGACGATCTGGCTGTCACCATAATGGCCGATCGGGATAACATGTTCTCCATCAAATCGCAGCGCAGGTAAAGCTGTCGGCCCCGAAAAAAAAACATAAAGCAACAAAATCTATCTTTTATATCTGCTTATGCTTTTGACCGCCCCCTTAATATGCTAAATTCTAATTTTAATGACACAAAAAATGAGGAAAAAGCGAAGAAAAAAAAACTGCTGCTTCTGTTGCCAGTTTATTTACTTACGTTCCCAAAGACACATAAAAAAAAACTACATTTGTACATGCGTATTTGTCAAATAATTTTGAATATATATATATATATATATATGTATATATATATATAATTACGCTGGAGATTTCAAATGAAGTTTCAAAGTTTCTTCATTAGGCATTTCATTTAGTTTAATTAGCTTGTTGGCAAAAAGATTCACATTTCATCAGCATCGTCAATTGACTAATAAAATCAGTACTTCAAATTGCATTTGCGCAAATAAAAATCTTTTGTAAATTGTTAATAAATTATTTAATTGCCTTTCAATTGTTTTTATTTTCATTTAATTTTTTTTTTTGTTTAAGACAAGCACGGATTAGGAAATATGATCACAAAATGATTAAATATGAGTAGTAATATTGAATAATTCATCAATAAATATTATTAACAGACATGTGAAATATAATTTAATATTATTGTAGCTTAGACGTTTACTTAAAAGTTGCTCATAAAGCTGACTTTCCAATTGCAATCGCTTCAATATTAAAATATTAATAATAGCTGAAAAGCTATGTCTTGCAATAAAATGGATTTCATTTATTAAACTTGTGAAAAACAAGTGGAAAATATATATAATTTGAGTGCAATGAACAAGTTTTATGGAAGAACGGATTTTGTGAGATGAAATCATAAACAAATCAATAATGTGTCAGATTTGATTCAAATCAATTTATGAGAAATATGACAAATAGGTATTGAGCATATATACATATATATATATGTAGATATATATCTGTATCTGTGTGCAATGGCACAAGAGTATCCCCATTAAGATACCACGGCGATTCCTCGGACAATTATTCACAGCGAAGCGCAGTGAATGAGTCATTGGCATGTTTTTAATCTAGCGGCGAAATGCGTCGCAATATTCATAATCGAATAACGAAACAGAGCAGAAGAAAACCGAAACGAAACGAAAAGAAACGAAACGAATGTAAACGAAACGAAACGAAACGAAAAGAAACGAAGAGAGTATAGAAGAAGAGCAGAGAAGAGACATGCTTGGAAATGACAAATCAGCAGCAAAAACATTTCGTCTGTCTGCAAAGTGGCAAAGTGTCGTCTAGAGACGAGACGGGGGCAAAAGTGAAGAGTTCAAATTTACTGATGCTGCTGCTGCTGCTGCTGCTGCTGGCTGTAGATGTGTAAGAAGTGGGATGGGGGAGGGGGGTGTGTGTGTGTGTGGGTGGTGTGGGTGAATCTTGTTGTTGCACTTACTGCTGCTGCGTCTGTTCGCCTCTCGTTATTTATGTTGTTGTTTATGGTTGCCACTTAAGATGGGTGTTTGGATAGACAAATGGATGGATGAGCATGTGAGTACACACACACACACACACACACACACACACACACACAGTCTAGTATTGTACAATTGTTGCGACACACACACACACACACATAGACATTTGCTATATTATGTGGGATATTGCAACGTGCCAAAAATCAGGCAAACATACCACAAAGCACCGCTGTGAGTGGAGCGGTGCCGGTGCGCAGGCGGGCTTGGGGCAGCAGGGGCAACCTGCCTGTAAATGAGTTGGCATCATTAATCGTATATCGCTGTCACTATTTGCATATTGCTCTCTCTCTCTCTCTCTCTCTCTCTCTCTCTCTCTCTCTCTCTGTCTCGCTCACGCGCTTTCATTGAACATTGAACATTTTTTTGAAAAAGTCGCAGAATTTCGTTTTATAAATTTCAATTCTCCCAAGCGTTTTTATTGCCAGCCAATAGGCTCTAAAGCTGAACGGCAAAGAAATCCACCAACAAGTAATTAAAACATGCACAAATTGCGTATACCCTGTATTTAGTATTTTAATGTCACAATTCTTGTTTTATATACTTATAAAAAGATTCACATTTAGATTATTGACTTAATTGTTTGTTGAGCACATTTTTGTGTACTTTCAGGAATATGCATATCCTTTTTATGTTCAGAGCAGAGTTCTTATACGTATGTAATATTAATGAACTCAATACAGCTGCTAAGCGTACTGAGGTACAGGGTATTGAAAAATAGAAAATACAACATTAAAAAGCGAATCTTAATTTTGGCGCCGCCAACGTTGTTGTGTTATGACGTCACAGATTGGGCCAATAGCTTGATGGTTGTTGTTTGTTTTATTTATATGTTTTGTTAATTTTAATATATTAATATTAATTTATCCCATTTTTTGTTTGTCAACGCGAACGCAAACGGCAACGGCAACGGCAACGTCTTTGTGCTCGTCTCCTTGCCACGCCTGTGCCTTGGATATTTACTTTGTGTGTGTGTGTTCTTTTTTTTAATATTTTCTTTTTTTATTCTTGCCCGTTTAATATTTATTTTCGGCACAAATATTTCGAGGCAAGTGGCTCGTGTGCCGAGAAACAAGCTGCCACACAATTTCCACAAATTGTGCGCGCCGCTTTTCGTTCCGCATTTCTGTGGAATTTTCGGGCCAACCTGGACAGAATTGTGCGGTGCAACAAACTTGAACGTCCTTTGGCGTCCTTACATTGCCTTCCTTTGTGTGTTGGCATACGTGTTGTTTTTGGCATGTCTATTCGTGGCAATGGCGCTGACCTTTTGCGGTCGACCGACAGCTGCCAGCCTTTTTGGGGCCCTCGGGGGAGACCCTGATTGTCATATGGACTGGTATCATCGTAAACTCAGGCACCTATGAGTTTATTCCAGTTGATTTGCCAGCCAATTCGGTTAGGCTCACTCACTCACTGACTCACTCACTCACTCACACTATATCGTTTCCATTTAAATCAGTTTGAAATTTAAATCCATAAATTTTTGGTAGTTTTGAATATGGAAAACAACAACTAAAACATCGTTTAATTAACTGCGTGCGAAATTCCATGTTGAATTCAATGACTTCAATTCGGTTGCCATAGGTCGCTTAATGCCCAAACTTATGAATCGATAATTATATATATATATATATAAATTAATGTACACTCATGACTTCAAGTGCAATAAACGGTAATTAATGAAATGCAATTCAATAATCGAGTCAAGGCGAGTGTTGCCAAGTGCCAAACAGGTCACAAACAAATGTTTAATGATTTAATCGCATTTCAATTCAAAAAGTACTTAAACAAATGTTGTGTTGTGTTTTTTCTCGTTGTTCTCCTTCTTGTTACTCGCTAGTGTTGGCGCTTGGGGGGCTTGCTGCTTCTGTTACTCGCCAGTTCGATTACTCGTCACTCTTGTTACTCGCTACTCACGTGTGTTTCACTGTTTAATTGAATTATTTACGTGCATGTCTCACTCTCTCACTCTCTGCTTGTCGACGTGGTTATAGTCGCCATAGCATTTACTCTATTTACTCACTTTGTATTTTGCATGCACATGTGTGTTTATGTATCCTATGTTTGAACATCTATTTGACTTATGTATTATATGCATATATATCGTCTATCGTCTACATTTACTTATCCATTTTGCTCTCTCTCGTTACAGCCATGGCGAGGATCTGATTGTAACGCCGTTTGCCCAAATTTTAGCCAGTTTACGTTCAGTGCGCAACAATTTATTAAGTCTGACAAATGTACCAGCATCCAACAAGTAAGTTTTTTTTTTTTTTTTTTTTTTTGTGGTGATTTCGACATGAACACTCCCCCGAGACCCGAGACCCTACCCCCTACCACCACCACCAAGGGCTGCTGCCACAAAATCACTTAAGGCTGAGCTCGCGACCCCCCCGCGATCCATGACAAACAAGCAAACAAATCTAATTCACCAACCAAGGTTTCCACATTTCCCATTCTCAAAAAACACCACCTTTCCACATAAGCCCCGCCTAATAAAGAAAAACAAAAAAAAAACAAAAAAAAACAAAGAAAGAAAGAAAAAAATGGGAGGAGATAACTTTGTTTGTTTGCCTTCTATACAATTCTCCCGGACTCTGTCTCGCGCCTACTTCCTACTCATTTTCTCTTGCACTTATTGTCTTGCTGCCTGTCGATGTACCTTGCTCGCTCTCTTGCCCTCCCCCCTCTCTCTCTCTCTCTCTCTCTCTCTCTCTCTCTCAATATGTTTTAGTCATCTCACACTTTAATTAATCAAGCAGCAATTAAAACAACAACCAGAAAGTAAACAACAACAATAGCATAAAGCATTAATCTTCTTTACCGACTAACAATAATGATGTCTACATGTTTTATGTATGTATAAGTGTATGTATTCGTAACAAGTCCCCCTCCCGCCCAGCCACAGTCATCCACTAAACTTACACACACACACACACACACACACACACAACACAACTGTTGAAGAAGAGTAAAGACCCACTTAAAGCGAAATGACGACAACGATGCGGAGAAACGACCCACAGACACACACTGGAGCCGGACGGGCGGCGGGGCGGGGCGGGGCGGTGCGGGTTTCTATGGTTTGACGTGCCAAAAATACCGCAAATATATGTCGTACCGTACACTTTATTTATACATTTTTCCAACGAATATGACGGAACTCAAATCTAAAACATTGTCAGTTCTATTGAACTGGTCAGTCACCATGAAATGGCAACGGCTGCTTGCAGCCGAAAAAAAAATAGAAAATCCCCGAAAAGATCTTTTCTTTTTATCACCTATATTATGTTGTTTGTTGTTGTTGTTGTTGTTTGTTGTTGTTTGTTGTTGTTGCTGTTGTTGGCACTAATATATCTAACATTCTGGATGTGTGTGTGTCTGTGTGTGTTTACAAATAATAATACAAATAATACCCTTACCCTTACCAGCAGTCAGTGTTCTTTTTCCCTTGTTAGCCATCTTTTAATCCAAATAAAAAAGAGAATCCCATATTAAGCCACATAAGTCCATAAGTATGCAATTAATCATAAGCTAACCAATAATTCTTAATTGTTGTATTGAAAACCACAGATTTTTCAAATCAATTTTGTTCATATTTTTTTTCTCTCGTTCTCTCTCTCTCTCTTTCTCTCTCTCTATCTCTCTCTCTCTTTATCTCTCTCTCTCTCTCTCTCTGCTGCTCTTTCTTTATACATATGTGTACATATATATGTCTATATATGTGTCTCGCTCACTCGCCGCAATCAAAACTTAATCGTTGTTGTTGTTCCCAATTCTTGATTATCAATGTTGTAAACACGTTTTCTTCTCGCTGTGTGTGGCTGTCAAAAAAAATAACAATAATAATAATAAAAAAAAACTGTTAACTCTGTCTAACTTCTTTCCGTTAACCTCATCCCACTGCCTGTCAACCGCCTCCCCACGAATTCGATCAATTTATTTGCGTTTGTCAAAAATTTTGCTGTTATTTTCATTGAAATTTTCTTGTAATTTTTACATATTTTTTTGTCTGTTTCTTTTTTTATTCCTGTTTGTCGTCACGTTTGTTTGTTTGTTGTTGTTTCTGTTCTTGTACATGAACATCCGTTCTTGTTCCTCCTATCACAATAACTCCCCACCACGCCCATTCTCCCGCTCCCCGTTTTATCTCTCACTCTCTCTCCCTATTTGTCAAAATTTCAATGTTACCCCCCCTCACCCCTCACACCCTCTGTTCCACCAACTATCTTTATGTGTGTGTGTGTGTGTGTGTGTGTGTGTGTATCTGTGCGTGTGCAAATCATATATTAATCAAACAAGATCCAGGCGGCCAGCTCAATCATCATCGGGACGTGGCGGAAATGCAGGCGGTGTCCAACTAGCACAGGGCGAGGAGAACTACACTCGCCTAGCCACCGATACCATTGAGGAGTTGGATTGGTGCCTGGATCAGCTGGAGACCATACAAACGCACCGCAGTGTCTCCGACATGGCATCGCTTAAGGTGCGTTAATCGATTAACGATTATCGATAATTGATTGCTAATTATTACATCATTACTAACTATTCGAATGATTGTATCGTTTTCAGTTCAAGCGCATGTTAAATAAGGAGCTATCCCACTTTAGTGAGTCAAGCAGATCGGGAAATCAAATTTCCGAATATATATGTTCAACATTTTTGGGTAAGTCAATTTTATCGAATATTTATGGGGGCATAATAAAAACTAGATATAAGCGAAACTAATACCAATTTTATTAAGTCTAAGTTAATTGAATACAACTTCAGTCAAAGAAATATGTTGTGGTTAAGGATGCTCACACTGATAGTGGAGTATCGATATCATCGATAACATCCCCGATAGTTTTCCTATTACACTTATTCAAAGTAAGTTCCTCGCCAAACCAAAGAAGGCCAGCTCAAATGGAAAATCTTTATAGTAAGTCACATCCACTGGCACTGGCACATTGTCAGCTGAATGAAATGTACTGAAAATTATTCGAGAATTGCGAGAACTTCGCGTTTATTTTATCTGCAGTTGATGACATTCTCATAGTCTTTATTCTTTTTATTGTGTTTGTGTTTGTGTTTGTTGCTGCTCGACAACGCATAAAAGTATGCAATAAAATCGCATTAGCCGCAGCAAAGTTTCAAGTAGCGTCTGCTTCCTCTTCCTCTACCTCTTCCTCTTCCTCCATCCATCCGCTCTTGGCTCCTCATGCTGCCGCACACTCAATTAGAACTATGTACTATAACAAAAACAGTATGCAAAATTTAAAACTTGTTTGTAAACTACGAGACTCCAGCTTACAGTGCAAAAGAGCAGTAAGTAAAACCTAAAAAACCTAAAAAACAAATAGAAGAAAAAATAGAGAAAACCCCTTTAGCAAAAAGGAGTCAAAAAGAACAGGCCAAATAAAACTTAAGCCAAAGCCAAAGCCAAAGCCGTCGAATTGAAAGTGCAAAATTAAATTATGCAGAGCAGCATAAAAACAGATGAAGTGGAAATTTCATTGTTTAACCTACGAACACCCAATGGCACGCCTCAGTCCCTAATACAACCGGCTGCTTATGTGTTTGCCGTCGAGCGGAGAAATAAGGATAGGCAGGGGGGAAGGGGGAAAGCGAGGCTACAAAAACTACGTCCACGTTTGACGCTGACCTCAGGATGTGCACAAACAAAGGCGCGTTGACCAAAGCGAAAGAGTTACAACACAGCTGAAGCAAAACAAAACACCGCCGAGAAGAGAACAGAATGTCAAATAAAATAAAAGCAACTGTCAGAGAGAGAAAGGGAGCAAGAGAGAGAGAGAGAGAGGGAGAGGTGGGCGCGCCTCCTTAAACTGTGGGTGTGGCCAAGCATGAGGTAGGCCAACATATTTGCACATTTGTCCATATTTCTGCTTCGCTGAGCTGAGCCTATGAGCCTAAAGCTGAACTGAACTCGGAACTTGGAACTCAACTCGACTCGACTCAACTCAGATGGCCAAGTTGGCAACTGGCTAAAATGATTCGCTTGGCTCGGCCCGGCTTGGCCAGGCCTAAACTCGTTTTTCTGCCTACCTTTGCGGTTACTACAGTTTTTGTTGTTGTTTTTCTTGTTGTTTTTGTTGTTATTTTTGTTGTTGTCTGCTTCCTTTTTTGGGGCCTACGCCTTTGGTAGTTGTCTCTGCCCACTCGCCCCATTGTTGTTGTTTTTATTGTAGTTTATCAAGCATAAAATCGCATTTGGCCCAAGCCTGGCCAGCACCTAAAGCTACACTCAAACACACACACACACACACACACTCACACACACACACACACACACACGGGACCCTAATGTTCATTTGTAACACTTCATTTGAAACAGAAGCGGCCGCCGCTCGCCCAACCTAAAATCACACACACAAAACCAGGACGGGCAGCATAAATGTGTCGCCCAGTCGATAAGTCGACTCTTCTCTAAAAAAAAAAGAGAGAGGAAAAAAAAACAGGCGCAGACACAGTGCGTATACGTAATGTCCATGGCCCATGGCGTTAACTGCGATTGCGATTGCAAATGGGAATGGGAATGGGAATGAGAGTGGGAATAGGCATGTGGCGGTGGCTTAATTGAAACGACTTTGCAAGATGAAAACACAAACGTATCCAGAGATAGAGATGCAGATAGAGATACAGAGAGAGAGAGAGAGAGAGAGAGAGAGAAGAGTTGTCTCTCGCGGCTGTCGCATATGTTAATCAGCCAAATCGTTGAGCGCTGTGCGAGTAAACAAAAAATCTCTGAAACGGATTACAGATTCAAAATTCAAAACCAAAATCAAATCGTATGTAAAGTGTGTACATATGCCTGCATCGGTCTACGTGTGTGTGTGTGTGTGTGTGCGTGTGTGTATGTGTGTGTGTGTGTGTGTGTATGCGAAAAACAAGAGAGAAGTGAAAAAGAAACATAAAACAGCAGGCAGCTGAGACAGCTCTGCGTCGAGTTAATGCCGTGGGGCACGAAGGCGATGTGGCATGGATAGCATATGTACTCGTGTGTATGTGTGTGTGTGTGTGTGTGTCTGAGATATGTGTGAGTGTTTCATGCTGTGTGTATTTTAAAGACTTGCCCAAAAATAAGGTATCGAATAGTAGGCAGATGCTTCACACACTTATTTGCAATGCAATTCAAAAGTGTACACATCAAATTGGTAATCATCGATATTTAACAGTAAAACTGCGATAATTAACAGTAAAACTAGTGTTGAACAAAGTTGAAGGCAATCGAAATAGCGCAGAGTTGCTGACTAACAACGATCTACAAACTTACTCATAACTACTACTTAATGTCGAGAGTATATCACATGAATATTTGCTCGAACACTAAAAGACTTTACTTATTTTTTACTTAGATATGCGAATGCATTTTTGCAAAGTAATCCCTTTTGGTGCAAAGAGCTACAAGTGTGAAATTGCTGTATTGATAAACATCTCCATTTGTTAATGAATTTCTTTTAGCAATCTAAAAGAGAGCGATTCAACTTCAACATCAACTTAATATGCCATTCATATCAGTCATCTTATTTAGATACATTTGACCCCATTAAATATGCATGGAGATGTTATATTTGTTGCGTGGAAGTAAAAGCATTCACCCAAACACACACACATTGTAAATTTGTAGCACCCTCTTTATACCCTTAAAATATAGGAGAAATAGTATTTTGAATATGTGTAATTATTATTAATAATTAAATGCATAAGTAATAAGATATTCTTCTGATTAGCATCTACAGTTTGTTATTTATGAATCAGACATCAAATTTAAAAGACTTTTCCAAATCGAAATCATAAAAAGAGTGCTTGAAATAAATTATAGGGTATCATTGTTATTATCAGCTGTATGCTAACTTAAATTCAACACAATTCTAATAAATAAATAAATATTAATTTATGCATCGGCGATTTGGGTTCATGTTGCCCAAGAATAGGCAATTTGTCTAAAATGCTTTCTTCAAATTTAATATGGACGTGTTGGTTGTTGTTTGTTAACAACTTGACGTATACTTGATGTGACTTGATGATGCCCAATCTAACAGAAGTATTTGCTGTGTGTATTTGAATATTTGCAGACAAGCAACAAGAGTTCGATTTGCCATCGCTGCGCGTCGAAGAGAATACGGAACCTTCGACCCAACCGGTCAATCAATATCCGCGCAGTCGATCGCCCCGCGGTCCGCCCATGTCACAGATCAGCGGCGTAAAGCGGCCGCTCTCGCACACCAACAGCTTCACCGGCGAGCGTTTGCCCACGTTTGGCGTGGAGACGCCCAAGGAGAACGAGCTGGGCACACTGCTCGCCGAGCTCGATACGTGGGGCATTGAGATATTCAAAATTGGCGATTGGAGCTGCAATCGTCCGCTCACCTGTGTGGCATACACCATATTTCAGGCAAGTCAATTCACATAATCAACGACAATTCAAACATTAAAGATTATTACACTCATATCTGTTACTTCTACAAATGAAATACTAATTTTATTTATTTTATTTTGTTCTGCAATTGCAGAGTAGAGAATTACTGACCAGTCTTATGATACCACCGAAAACTTTTCTTAACTTTATGACTACTCTGGAGGACCACTACGTCAAAGACAATCCGTTTCACAATTCGCTGCATGCCGCTGACGTGACACAGAGCACAAATGTGCTACTAAATACGCCAGCATTGGAGGGCGTATTCACGCCCCTCGAAGTTGGCGGGGCCCTGTTCGCCGCTTGTATTCACGATGTTGATCATCCTGGCTTAACCAATCAGTTTTTGGTTAATTCAAGTACGAACGAAACACAAACATTTCAACTGTGCAAATTAATTATTCATTTGAATTTGTTGCAGGTTCCGAACTAGCATTAATGTACAATGACGAATCTGTTTTGGAAAATCATCATTTAGCTGTTGCCTTCAAATTATTGCAAAATCAAGGATGTGATATATTCGGTAATATGCAAAAGTGAGTAAAGCAATCCCAAAAGCGAACTTTGAGCGCACTTCTAATGCCGAATGCCATTTTCAATCTTGATCTCTGTGTGTAGGAAACAACGCCAAACATTGAGGAAAATGGTTATTGATATTGTGCTCTCCACGGACATGTCCAAGCACATGAGTCTGCTGGCCGATCTGAAGACTATGGTGGAGACCAAGAAGGTAGCCGGCTCTGGGGTGCTGCTCCTGGACAACTACACAGATCGTATACAGGTAAGTGAGATGCTCTTCTCACTCACTCTCTCTCTCTCTCTCATACACACACATTCATCTATCTCTTTCTGGTTGATGTGTGTTTTGAACAGGTGCTTGAGAATTTGGTGCACTGCGCTGATCTGAGCAATCCCACCAAGCCATTGCCGCTGTATAAGCGCTGGGTGGCGCTGCTAATGGAGGAGTTCTTTCTGCAGGGCGACAAGGAGCGCGAATCGGGCATGGACATTAGTCCGATGTGCGATCGCCACAATGCAACCATCGAGAAGTCCCAGGTGGGCTTCATCGATTATATTGTGCATCCGCTGTGGGAAACCTGGGCCGATCTGGTTCATCCAGACGCACAGGATATACTCGATACGCTTGAAGAGAACAGAGACTACTATCAGAGCATGATACCGCCATCGCCGCCGCCATCGGCAGCCGATGAAATACCGCAGGATGAGAAGATTCGCTTTCAGGTATTCAATCACATCCACATAAATTGTTCATATTCGATTCTTACACACATTCTCATTCTCAGATAACGCTGGAAGAGTCCGATCAGGAGAATTTAGCCGAGCTTGAGGAGTGCGACGAGAGCGAGAGCCGGGCAGATGCCGGCTCCAGCACCACAACGGGCACAACGGCCACCAGTGCGGCAGGCGGTGGCCATCCGCCAGGGAGTCAAAATCAGGCCCAACGCGGTGGAATGTGACGGAGAGTCGTCAGAATTTATCGGAGAATAACGGAAAAAGCGCACAGCTTCTTCCTACTACGTTAGTGACTACAATTTAAAAAAAAAGAAAAACAAAACAACAACCAAAAATTTTGAAAAAAAAACACAAAAAAAAATTAACAAAAAGACACAAAAAAAGAAAAAAATCCAAAAAAAAAATACAAAGAATTAAACAAATGTTTAAAGCATAAAAACAAACAGCAATAGCAAAAGTACCGTTTAACTTATAGTAAAAGAAAACAAAACAAAAACAAAACAAAAAACATGAGAAATTAGAAATTTACTTAATGAAAACTGAGATTGATGTGAAATACACTGAAAACAAAAAAGAAAGCAGCTAAGCAAAGCATTAACATAACATTACACATAACAATTAATCTAGAAGAAGAAAAAAAACAAAACCCAAACAAAACCCAAACAAAAACCCCCCCAAATTAAAGACAAGACAAAAGCGCACTGCAAAAAGAAAGGCAAGCAAAAGCTAAACACAAAGCAACCACTTTAAACAAATACAGCAGAAAAAAACAACAACAAATACACAACCATAGACGATTTTTGTTGCAATATTTAATTCGATTTTATTTTATTTTTATTAATTTTTTTTTAAATATATTTTAAGCAACCGAACTTTAGTTTTTAATGTTGAACCACGGCAATCTAGCTCAATATTCATTGCGGCAAATTTGTTGCTTTCATTTTAATTGTATTGACAAACCAAGGCCAGGAAGGCAACTAGAACAACAACAACAACAACAAGAACTACTGCAACAACAATAACAATTTTACCATTAAGTTTTTTAAGATAATTTGTAAATGAACAACGCTTTGAGCTAACAAAAACAAACAAAATATTGTGCATGCATAAATTTTAAATTTAAATTATTAATTTTAAAAGATTATTATCATTGTTGATGATTATGTTGATAACGATTGCGTTGATTGTTGTATACATTTCAAATTTTATTTATTTAGAGACGACAACAAAAAAAAAAAAACAAAAAACAAAAAACAAAAATAACAAAATACAAAAACCAAAAACCAAAAACAAAAAGAAACACGAAGCACTAACTGCAATTTACATACTGTAAGCCTCCCCCCTAACCCCGCCCAAAAGCAAAACCAGTGAATTCAACTAAATTGAAATGCATAAAGCAAACAAAATTGAAGCTATATTCAAATGAAACAAAACAACAAAAAACAAAACATACTTAAGCCCAAAACCTTATGTACATTCTGCAGCTTAGACTGCAGTTGTAAAGTCCTATATACATACATATGTAATCATACACACACACACACGTGAAATACGTTTTTTTTTTTTTTTTAATTATTTGTACATAACTTAAACGTTGGACTCGAATTTAAAATAAAGCAGCAAAATGCTTGCAGCTAAAACTAAATGACGCAAAAAATAAGAAGAGAAACAAAGCCAAAAAGAAAAATGAAAGTTTAATTTGCTTGAAACAAAAAAACTGAACATAAAACAAAAACCAAAAAAAAAAACACAAAAAAAAAACAAATATAATAATAATAATAATAATATTAATAATAATTTGTACAATTAGCTGAAGAAATTCTTGATTTATGTTGCTTCCAAGTAAAACGCTGTCTTCGCAAAATATCATTTTAGTGGTAGACAAACAAAATGAGTAACAGTAACAATTAAAAAACAAAAAGTTGAACAGAAACAGAGTTAAATCAAGCAACTGACAAATTCGAAATGTGTATCTAAAGTTGTCCTACGATTGCCACATCAATTTACACATTTTGATTGATTTGATTTAATTGACTTAAGATGCTTCTTGGTCCACAGTTTACATGCAAAAAACAAAAAACAAACAAAAAAAAAAGACTTTTCCAGCTCAAGCACTAGAAAATTCTTGATTAAAAGCGAAAACCAAATAAAATTCAATTGAAAAAGTCATTGGCTATACACCATTTAAACAAACTATACACATACATATATAAATATGTATATATATATATATATATATATGTGTATGTGGAGCAATCTATGCAACTATATTTACAAACACTATATTTTTACTGAGTCACAGGCTCACGCTGGTGCGTGATCGATCGAGAGTGGCAGGCCAAACTAAAAAGCGCATAATTTATTACCTTTATTGTTATTAATTTATTAATTTTTTTTAATATAATATATATATTTATATATATTATATATAAACATATATTTAACCCCCACCCCCCAAACCCCACCCCCTACACACACACACACACACACACATATTGTATGCTATATATATATATATATATATATATATATTTTATTTTGTGTTTAAACGGGCAGGATCCGTGAAATTGTGTTTTTTTTTAATATCTACATAATTATATACATACATATATTAAAACAAAAATGAAATGAAAATGAACCTTGATGGTCTAAAAATATCATTAAAATTATTATGCACTATTAAATATATTTGTATATATATATATATATATATATATATATATATATATATATATATATATGTATATGTATATATGCATATACAAAACCTATATATATTATACATTAAAACAGCATAAAAATATATATATTCTTTAAGCAGCAGAACGTGTTGAGAAAATTGTTGTAAACTGAAATGAGAAAACAGGTTAAATAGTATGAAAACAGCAACTGTCAAATTGTTAGATTAAACCAGAAAAAAAAGCAAAACAAAAAATAACAACAACAACAGATTGTAAGTTGCATAACCAACAACAACAACAATAACAACAACAAATAAATACTTTATAGCAATTATAGCAGCATTGTAAATGTGCGCTTCAAATTTACTTTTGCAATTAATGACTAATTATGCAATTAATTCAAGTGCAAAAGTTATAAGTCAAAGAGAAATCAATTTACTAAAATATACTACATACAAAACAAACAAACAATAGTTGGAAGCAGGGCGCAGTCCATGGCAAACTGAAAGCTACTTTAACAATTGAGTGAAATGAAATTACAAATAAATGAAACAAACAAAAACTAAACGACTTTTTTCTCTACCAAAAAAAAAACAAAAAAAAAAAACAACAACAAACCACAACTTACAACCAAAAAACCAAAATGCAGAGATACCAATTATTTATACGTGCTACCACATAACAATTCATGCATACCTATAATATTGCTAAAATACATATATAGTACATATTATTAAGTAATGTATTGTAATTGGTTACTAACTAATGAATTTCAATGTTAGTGAGTTGTGTGTAATAAGCAAAACCAAAGCAAAAACACACACAAACACAGACACAGAGACACACAGACACAAATACAGGCAAACAGTTCTCCACAACATATGATGAAATGATAGATGCAGATACACTGATATTTACACACATACATGCGTATATATATATATATATATATGTATATATGTGTGCTATATTAAAAAATAATGAATACAGTTACTTCTATATGTGCGTATCTTAAACCATATGTTGTATGTGTATTTTGAGTGTCAGTGTAATTTATGAATTTAATATGTATCTTATGTATGTATTTTAAAACATAGCCCGATAAATGGCATTCGGCATTAGTTCTTCTCGCATTGGTAAACCAAAAGCAATTCATAAACTTAAATTTACATTTAAATATATACATACATACATGCATACATACAAACATACATACATACATACATACATATAAATCAATAAATAAACGAAAATGAGCAACTAAGGAATACATATATTTACTAATTAGAGAATTGCCAAGAAAAACAAGTTAAGAATTGCATCTAAGAGTAGAAAGTATTTTTGTTCTCGTATTCTCACTCTCACTCTCAGTCTAAGTCTCCAATCTCCAATCTCGAATCTCCATTCTGTCTGTATTACATATGTATCTATGTATGATCCGATATATGTACATACATATGTATCCATCTATCTATCTATCTATCTCAATTTCGATGGCTGTGGCCCAGTGTTTGCCCAGTTTTGACTGAAATTGCAGTATCGTATAGTTCATATACTATCCTCATACATATACATATATCCATATAGTTAAGAGGTGTCATTTAATCGTCGTGATTCTAGCGATTAGAGGAGACATACCGTCAAGTATATCAGTGTATATATCTATATATACATATATACATATATATATATATATGTGTATGAGGTCCTATACATATGCATACCAAATTGTAGTAAATAAAACCTCGTGTTTGTGTTTTTTTTTTTTTTTTTGCCTAGTAAATTACGACTTATATAATGTTAGATGATACATGTTACTAGAGCAGCATTATAGGACAGGTTGGCCAAATTTTTTTGAAAACTATGCAGAAATTTTGTGGCTTAGTTAGATATTTTGTTTGAATGTCGTGATGCTAACTGTAAATGGAAGTTCTTGTTTTTCTTTCTGTGAATTGCAAATTTAAATAACACATACAATTTATATACATAAATGTATAGATTAGCATAATATATAAATATAAAGATCTATATAAATATCTATATATATACATATGTATATATATAAATATGTATATGATACCAAGCAATCCTAAAAAAATACGCTGCATTCAAAATGATGGAAAATGATTTTAAGAAAAAGTCACAACAAAACGTATTTACTTGATGAGGATGACATGTTTTGTACTTTAATGAAATGTAAAACACCAAAATTTGAACACAAAACAAAACAAAACTCAAAAGGAAAAAAGAATATGAGTAAAAAAAAGAGTAAAAAAGAGAAAGACGGTTGTTAAGGAAAAACGCTTGAAATGTGAAAAAGTTTGGCCTGAAATTAAAAAAAAAAATAGCTCTAACAAAAAATAAAAAGATGCAGGGGCAGAAAACAAGCTATGAGATATGTATATTAAATTATATATATATTTAAAAAAAAGAAAAAGAAGGAAATTGTAACGCTGGCGTTACAACGATGCAGTTAGACAACTTTTTTTTTTAATTGTACAATTAAATACAAGCAACAAGAGAACTTAACACAGAGCACAAGCAAACATAGATTTACCAATATTGTTCATACACACACACACAGAGACACACACACACACAGACACAGAGACACACACACAAAGAGACACACAATTGAGATCGAAAACGAATGCAAAACCGAATATTAAAATATTTGTATGTATGAATTAAATAAATAAATAAATAAAGCAAAGGTGTGTGAGGCAAGTTTGAGAAACGAATTGAACCGTTGAAAGCCGTTGAAAGTAAACGTCAAATGCAAAACGAGTTTAAGTCCAACAAAATATAAAAGAAAAAGAAATTGACAAAAATGATAGAAATGAAAAAAGAAAATACCTACAAGTAAACATAATAATGAGAAAAAATTACCACTGAATTACATCAGGCGTATTAGGGCATATATATATATACATATATAAGTTGAAAGTATTTATAAATAAATAAATGGAATACCCAATTGCATTACACATTTTTAGGGTTTTTTCGACTCTGTCCCTCGAAATACCAATATTTGTATATATATATATATATATATATATATATATATATATATATATATATATACATATGTATGTTCTTATGTACAGCTGTAATGCATGTATATATACATATATGCATAAGTATATATACATATATATATATATATATATACATATATATATATATATATATATATATATATATATATATATAGATATATATGTGTGTGTGAAAGAAGAAGCATAAGCATTTATGAAATGCAAAAGATATGCAATTTATTCAGTTGGTAACTTATTCGCAGAGATCAGATTAGTACTACATAAATGTCTAAGGCATATTGTAATCCAAGCAATTATCATACCACACACAGACACATACATATGTATGTGTGTATTTGAAAAGAGAATATATAAGCAGACGTAAGAGATACAAACGCGAACAACAAATGAAAAGAGAAATTAATAAAACTAAATGAAAATAATTCAATATTGCCTGGTAGTCGTCTTGGGAAATATAATCGAATTGGGTGCAGATTATTTCGAATTGTGTAATTCAAAATGTGCAAAATGTCCCGCCCAAGATTGGCTCCGATGACGGCGCTGAGTTCCGATATTGATTGTTGATGGCTGGATGGATGCATACGTAAGCTAACAAAATAACAGACAGCTTTTGTCCAGTATGCGTTTGTCGTATGCGCAGCAGACTAATTTGATATGCGCAAGTTCATGAATCGAAACAGTACCGGTGAGTTAGCTAACAACACATCAACATAACATACAGCTTTTTTCGATAGCTATCGATATGCGCAATTGGTTCTACAGTTCTTGAACCGAGTGTCTTTCATGTTCAGTGTGCCGATCAACGGTTAACTCAACGGGGTGGACGGCGGTTGCAATTCCAATTAGGAGAATCGAAACTGATCAGCACATTTGAAGCGAAACTCGATCACAGATTCAATATAATTTGTCTGCCATGAATAAATTACCATTTGAAGATTATTTAATTTATTGTTAAGTTGTAGATAATAAAATATGGCAGTACAAAAAGTCACATGAGAAATCACATTTAAATGGAGATGATGCAGACATTACAGACGACTCATATAGAAGACACCATGGCAGGCGGGACACTTGCGCCTAATGCATTTCTGTTCCGGCTCCGGTTGGGGCTGGAGCGATTTGAAGTACTTGCCGATGACGGCCAAGATGTCGTGACGATGTTGCTCGAGAAAATCGACGGCACAATTCTCGTAGTTGTTGATGCAGTGCATCAGCATGCGGTAGAGCACCAGCTCTGTGGAGACAAAAGTGTTTAGGGTGCGATCAATTCCGTCCACGCTCTGCTCCACAAAGGTGCGCGTCAGTTGGAGCAGCAGCTGCATCGCCTGCTCGCTAAAGTAACGGCTCATCCCATCGAGCACGTCCATAAAGCTGGTCAGGCTGCCGATCTGGCCTACAAACTTGCAGCCCAACTGGCTGGCCAGTGCCGGTAGATCGAGGCTGAGCCCACCGCCGGCGGCCAATCGAACAAAAGTGGGCAACTGGACACCAGCGGCACCGACGGCATCCAAAACTAAGGCGACTGTGGCACCAGCCGCCAGATGCGAATGAATCTTGTGCAAGTTGAGGAGCACCTCCTTGTAGGGTATGTCATTGATGAGGCGTACAATGTCCAGCTTGCGGGATGTGTCGCTGCTGTGCAGCTTGGCCGACTCCTCGCTGATGCGACTGAACACCTTCCTTGTCTGGTGACGCACCACGCGTCGCAGACTGTGTCCGTTGGTTGCCTTTACGGCGAGGCGCAGATTGTTCACCGAATGCGTAAAGATTAGCAGACTGGATGCCATTTGCATTGCGTCGTAACCGCTCAGCGATTGCTCGTCGCTAATCTTGAGATACAGATCATAGACGCCGCTAACGACGCCGGTGCCGGCGATCACCATTGAGGACACGTTACAGCCGTGCACCGCCAGCTGAGCAGTCCGGCCGGCTCGTCCCGCCCGAAGGACACTTAGCGCCGTATTGGCGCTCGTCGCACCCAGGCCAGCAACGCCGCCGGCAACGCCCAGCCAGCTGGAGCGCGCCTCGTTGTCCGCCAGCGATACTGTCTGGCCGTGCCAGCGCCGATCGATGAGCCGCGACGCGGACCGCACGGTGCTATAGGCAGCCGTGGAGACGCCAACAACTGTGGCTGCAATCAGTATGGGTGCGGCGACGGGCAGTGCCAGTGTGGCAGCCACCGGCACCGTGGCGACAATGCCACCAACTGTGACCAGCTTGTCGCTGACTTGCAGCATCTTCTGCTTGAGCCACGACGCTGGTGTCGATAGCACCATCAGCTGCACTTGCTCTCGTTCCTGGTCAGTGAGCTTGGTGAAAGTGTAGACACCGTTGTGGGGCGCTATCATGGTGCCACGAGGCAGGGCATTGTTGCGCACATACCGCTGCCAGTTGGCATAGACGCGTCCGTGCTCATCAATGAAGATCATGCAGCAGCCATCGCTGGAGCTCTCGTTGCCACCACCATCAGCCCGTACGCACTTGCGCGTCCTTATCACTGGATGGCAGCTGTAGTTGGTCGATTGCAGCGCCAATGTGGCATCCGTCTCAGGAGTGACCAGCACATAGATAATCGCCGAGAGCAGCGTGCGATTTGTGTAGGTGCGCTGCTTCCAAACATTCTCGAACAGATGCTGGCGCTGCTTGGCCAGCAACTTGTTGCTTCTCGTTCGGCCGGTCGTCGCCACGTCCTCGTCCTCGTCCTCCATCTGGCATATCAGATTGGCAATCTTCTGGCGCAGCACATCCGGCTGCTCGGGGGCGAGGCTGCAATGAAGTTTGGCGCGTTTCATTAGCAGCTGCTGCTGCATTTGCCACAATCATTTTCAACTCACGAGTCCCAAATTATTTCCGAGTGAAATCCGCTGCTCAGCGCAAAATCCCGTTGCACTTCGTAAGCGGACCGCTTCATGTTTATTTCCGATTGATTGACGCACTTTATAAAATATTATTTCTAACTTGAAGTGCTTTCTTTGACACTAATAATTCAATGCACTAAAATTATAATTCTCGCCTGGCAAACTTTGGCGACGTCACTCTGCGTACTGAGCTCAGTCCGCCAGAAAACCCGCAAGAAGAGAGCACAGAGAGCAAAAAGGAGAGAGCAATAAACAGAAATAAAAATAGCGAGAAAGAAAATTAACAGTTTAGTTGCATTTACACTGATAGAAAATAATCTTGTAAGTACGTAGTAAAAAGTCACTGCATGAATAACAGAATTTGCTTTTTTCCTACAGGGTTATGAGTGTGTGCGAAGATAGCAGCATCTATCTTCACAGATAGCGGCAATACTCTATCTATCCCAACTCTAGCCTTGTCTTTGCATTTTCGATATTGAATTTTGCAGTTTTTGAGTCTGCGATGTATCCTTTCGCAGTGTAGCTTTTAACTCCTTAAGAATATAAATTTAACGGATTCATGAAGATGGAGGTAATTCAAGAGTTGTTAATTTCCAATGACTGCTTAGTGATTGTCAACGCACAAGTTAATAAAGCAAATAAACAAATCCAAAATGTATCAAAATTTAAATCAATTTCAGTTTAGGTTGCAGCATTGGCTAAATTATCAACGGCCCAACTATACGGCATACTTTTAGGGGCGAAGATATAAAAAGACTGCACATTCGAATACTGCTTCAAATGGCTCAATTTCGCCGGGTTTTTAGACAACTCTCAGTATTTCTGAACTTTTGTAAAATCATCTTCTTTGAACATTTTGCTTACACAAGAAGCTGCGATTTTCAAAGAACTCGCTTCTGTCTGTCTGTTGTATGACGTCACAAGCCACGTTCATCGATATCCGTGTCACTTCTCAATCTTCTCTATTTGCATACTATTGTCGTAACTTGGCATCAGCCTATCGATATATCGTCCTATCGATAGTTGCACACAAAGTATTATTTAGTGCTGAAGCGTGTGTGTGTGTTCGCTTGTGTTGTATTTGAATCATTTGTGCATTTGTTTTTATTCAGCATAAGCCCAATAACATTACACAAACACTCAACACTCAAACATTCAACACTCAAACACACACACGCTTAACGACAATAGAATGTTTGAAGATGCGCATGCGCGGCCGCAGATTGCTACCAATTGCCATCGCGCTAATCGTAATCATAATATTGTGTATCAGCTATATGGCGACTCCGCCCACTTCTCCGCCTCATCCGCTGCGTGAGAGCCGAGATGAGTTTCTGGTGCATCTGCCCCCGACGAGTGACGAAGACACACAACCAACAACAGCTCAACACAACGCACAAATGGCAGCAAAACAGCAAAGCGCAACTCAATCTGAAGTGCAAATGGGAGTGGGAGCTGCACTGAAACCTGGTCCGCTGCTGAACCTGACAAGTTTTGACTATCTACTCGCCAGCGATGTGTGTCGACGCGCTGAGCGGGAGCTGCTCGGTGAGTTGCCCCCCTCCCAAGAAAAAACCATTTAAGAGTGTAAACAACAAAATCGATAATCGATATTTGAGTTTGTGTTTGATTTGGATTTTGTTGTTTGCACTTACTGAGCTCACTCCCCAATCGAACTCGCAACTAATGCGTCATCCGTAATCCCTAACAGCTATACTCATTGTGACGTCGTATGCGGGACACGATGCACTGCGCGCCGCCCACCGTCAGGCGATAGCGCAAAGCAAGCTGGCTGAGATGGGGCTGCAGCGGGTCTTCCTGCTGGCTGCGCTGCCGGCGCGCGAACATTTCATCAGCCAGGCGCAGCTGGTCAGCGAACAGGCGCGATTCGGGGATCTGCTGCAGGGCAACTTTATCGAGGACTATCGCAATCTGAGCTACAAGCATGCGATGGGTCTGCGCTGGGCATCGGGCGAGTGCCAGCAGCGTGCCAAGTTCATCATTAAAATGGACGATGACATCATCTACGATATATTCCATTTGCGACGCTATTTGGAGTCGCTGGAGCTCAGCCAGCCAGCGCTGACCAGCAGCAGCACGTTGCTGGCGGGATTTGTGCTGGACGCCAAGCCGCCCATTCGGCTGCAGGCCAACAAGTGGTTCGTCACACGCCAGGAATACGCGCACGCACTCTATCCGGCCTACCTGTCCGGCTGGCTGTATATTACCAATGTGCCAACCGCCGCACGCCTTGTGGCGGAGGCGGAGCGTGTGCCCATCTTCTGGATAGACGACACCTGGCTAACGGGAATTGTGCGAACGCGCCTCGGCATACCGCTGCAGCGGCACAACAATTGGTACTCGGCCAATGCCGAGTTTCTCGACTGTTGTGTGCGCGACCTCAAGTCCCATGGCTACGAGTGCGAATACTTCGCTGGGCCGAATGGGGGCGATGCCAAGCTGCTGGTCGAGTTTCTGCACAACGTGGAGAAGTGTTACTTTGACGAGTGCATCAAACGGCCGCCGGGCAAATCCCTCAAACAGACCTGCCTGGCCACCGTTAGATCTCCAGCGCCGGACCATGGAGTCGCACACATCCAACCACTCAGGCTGAGATGACCGCAGATTGCTTTCTCTTTCTCATTCTCGTTCGCTTTCTCTATCGCTCTCGATTTATATGTTTGTTTCTCTTTCACTGCTGCTCTGCCGTCCAGTTTCCGCATCCTTGCGTCACATCTAGACTAAGACTTATTAGGCTTAAGCATTCCATGTGCAACTTGGCAACGTTCGTCTTTAGACTTAAGATAGAAGAGTACACAGAAAGCGTACAGCTTGACTTATGTTATATATACCGATAACTGATAACTGATTACTGATTACCGATTTCTAACTATGCGTGGATTAATATTAACTTTTATTTAACAGCTTAAAATATTGTGCAGCTTAACAATAATAATTTCATTTTCATAAATGTATTCGACTTTAATTGATCCAAATAAATCTGCCTGGCTGGGTGAGTTGCAAGATGCTCATCAAGAATTTTGTACACTTTTAGAAAAGTGATTCGGTTGAGAAATACACTGTGTGAAGAAAGTGTTTGGACACAGCAAGAAATGCATATTTCTCATTTCTTTTGCAAAAATATGTTAACTTTTATTTTTAGTTTTTTTTCTTTCTTATTTTTCTACTGTTAAGTAGAGTTCTTAAAATTATTGCTTGAATTCATGAATCTTGTTCATTTTTTTGTTAGATTGTCTTGCGAAGTTCACTTAATAGTAGAAAAATAAGAAAACGAATCAAAAGCCATTCATAAAATACATCTTTGTGCAAAGGAAAAGGGAAAAGATGCATTTTTTCCTGTGTCCAAATACTTTCTTGACATAGTGTAAATAAAGTTCTCTTTGCAGCTTGTTGCAAATTCGACTTGAGCATATTCTTTGCTTTGGTGTGTCACACTCAGGCGACAAAGAAAAACTACTCCTCCAAGGACCAAGCGATGGAATCTTGGAGCCAATGATGACTCATCTCAGCATACAAGGACTTGTACGAAAAATTCAAATTGCATATTCGTTTGTGTTATCATTCTTTATTATCATAAATAGATTTAAATTAAATAAATGCAATACAATTAAGCACAATTTCATTGTACACACTATGAAATTAGTTTCGCTTCATTTCTGATCGCTCATTATTTGTTTTTGTTTCTTGCTTCTTACTTTCTTTTGAAAATTGCTTCTGTTTGCTGTTAATTGCCTTGTTAGCTTTTTTCTTTTTTTTTCTTTTAAATTAAATAAATGTGAGTATGTGCGCTTGTGTGTGTGTATGTGTGTGTGTGGGAGGGAAATTAGCAGGGTGTGTAAGAGTGTGTGCGTATGTGTGTATGTGTGTGAGTGTGTGTGTAGGTGCATCTGCGGCTGCAGTCTCTATACAAGTTACAAAAGAGATCGATCGACGGAGCTTTAAGCTCGTTACTCAATCTTTGTATTTATCTATCTATCGACTTTCTCTCCTTTTCCTCCTCTCTCGATCTTTCTTTCTTTCCTTCCATTCCATTCCATTCGTTTGGTTGTCTCTTTCGTAACTTTATAGAAAGTACGCGCTCGCAGTTTTCAATATGCGCTTCTTAACGTCGTTCGTCCTTCTCTTTCTTTCTTTCATTCTTTCATTTTGTTTCCTTCCATTTTAAAAATTTAAATTAATGCTCGCATATGTAAATGTAATTGTTAATGTGCAGTTCGCTTCGCTGGATGCTTGTTCGCTTTTTGCTCTTTTGCTTTTGCTTGTTACTTTTTTTTTTGTTTTTACTTTTTGTCTACTAAATGTTAGAAAATAAGTTATAAAAAATAGGCTAAGGGCAGGCGAACACAGTTAACGCATTCGCCAAATCAATTTCTGGAAATTAACTCACGCTCTAAATCTAAATAAATATAAATAAATAAATTGTATATATAGTAATTATGTCAAAAAAAAAAAAAAACAAAAAATACACGCTTGTCAGGCAGCTGCTCTATATGTGTGTATGTGTGTGCGTGTGTGCGTGTGTGTGCGTGTGTTTGTGCTTTGATTGTGATCAAAATTGAGTTCGGATTTGGTCTTGGAATACATTCACTTGATATTCTTCTTCTTTTTCTTCTTCGTCTTCTTCGCCTTCTCACGTTTTCTATTGCAGACCGAAGCCGAAGTTCGTTTCATGATTAACTGCGCTGCTGCTCTCATTGCCAGTTTCTCTCTCGTGAGAGAGCGCTGAGCGCTGACAAGCGTGGACGTTGTTGCACTTAAGATGGGCGCCATACGCCAAAGAGAGATAGAAATAGCGCGTGACAGAGAGAGAATTGTTATGTGTGCGTAATTGTGCGCATGCGTGTGTGTCTATCTGTATGGTGTGTGTCTGTTGTGTGTGTGTGTGTGCGGGTGTTGGTGACAATTTGTGTTGTGTGTATCGTTTTTGTTTTCCTTTTCTTTTTCTCTTATCTCTTTTAATTCAGTTTTCTGTGTGTGCAGCTGTTGTTCTTGTTCGTCTTGCTGCTGCTGCTGCTGCTATTGCTGTTGCTGTTGCTGTTCTTGTGTTGCGCCTAAACTTATGCTACGATTTTGTGGGGCTGCATCCATTTCTTCATGTAGTAGCAGAACAGCGTGGAGATGTAGAGCAGGATCATGAGCGCACAGGTAACGGCCAGCGCCAGCACGGACGTCTTCGTCGGGCACGGCTCAATGATGGTTACAGTCTTGTCTGCAAGTGCGAACGACAGTGAATGAAAGTGAGTTCAATGATTTTCTTGAAGAAGGTATTATTTCTATTATTATTTTATATATATAAATATATATCGTCATTTGAGTGAAAAGTGTCTAAGTCTAGTTCAGTTTTATGCCATCAATGATTTCTGTATTTCAATTGAGGATTTTTCTTACCTTTGGCAAAGTCTGTGCTTGGATCTGCCTTGAAGAATTCACGCTTCTCATCGCCAAAGTCCAAGACGAGAATCTCCTGCGAGATGTTCATCTCATCCTTGCTCTTGGTCTCATTGCTAAAACCGAAAAAGTTTTTAATACAATATTGCAAGCATTGCTTTTATTGTGCAATGTGGGACACTCACGCCTCAATGGAGCGACGACGCCTTCTGCCCAGGGATTCGAATGACTCCATGTTCCATTCGCAGACAGCCGGCTCACAGGGACCCAGACAGTATTTGACATTGCACTGGAAGATGACGCCGTAGCTTTCGGTAAAGCGGAATGCTTCGTAGGTGGACTGCAGCGCATTGCCATCGGCGGTGAAGCCGGGGAAGATGGTGGGATCCGTGGGGCAGCCCAAGTCGTCAATGATCTTGAAGCTGGTGCGTGCATCCTTTGCCATGGCAACGCAGCTGCGTGCAAAGATACCATAGGGAGCTGCAAACAGAATGGTGGGCGCAAGATGGATGGAGAGGATAAGCAGTTGTTTCTTGGACATATAAAAGGAAAGCATTTTACGCACTGTCTTCGGGTATCTCGATGCGGAAGTTGAGGCGATCTCCGATGCGCACAGTTTCCACCTCGCGTTGGCGTGTATCCAGAATGCGAATCCTTGGTGGCGGTGCCTCTGGCGACGAGTTGATGTGTATCATCTCAGGATCGCGTATGGGCATCATGCCGAAGGTGATGTTCTTCGAGCTCATGTCATATGTGCACTTCACCTTGTAGATCTTGTCCGCCTTGGTCATCACGACGCTGTGGTGCTGCAATACCACCGTGTTCGAGTAGACGCCCGTCTGTGAAATGCAATTGCAGCCAGTTATTAGCTGAAATAAGGCAAGTGCGTCTGGTTAATTACCACGCTCTGTGTATTGCAATCCTGTCCGGTCATGGTCAGGTCCAAGCGGAACGCATCCGAGTTGATGACATCGATGTTGCACGTCTCCGAGCGGCCCAAAGCGTAGATGCGACCATTGAACGGCTTGTTGGTGCGCACCTGGACAGCAATGCGGGTGTCCTTGCAGTGCACAGAGACTGAAACAGGATGCACGAATTAGTTACAAATTATACTCAACAAAATATCAAATTGAAATGAATGCCAATGAGTGAGCTATTTGGTTGCTGGTAAGGATTACTTACCGTCATAGCAGGTGCCAGTCTTGTCGCAGTTGACATCGTTGCGCGTCATGTTGGTCAGAGTGGGATCCTCGATGGTGTCCAAGCTGACGGGCAGCGTGTCAATCTTATCCAAAGTGCCGGGAGGTGAGTTGCTACCGCCACCAGCAGATTTCTCGCACTGATTCTCAAAGTACTGGCCAATGGGTTCGCCATGATCGATCAGGGGACGCTCATGATTCAAATAGGTCGAAGGGCCATCGGGCAGAGTCTTGTGATCCAAGTGATACAGACGGCAGTTGTACTGAGCGCCTTGCGGCTGACCCAGATACAGGAAGGAGCGGCAGAGGAACTCGGACTCGATCTCGCAGGCGAGACGGCAGGCGGACTCGGAGGTCACCTGCAGCTCCTTGTCCGTGTAGTAGTGTAGGCCAACATACTGGGCAACCTTCTCCTCGGAGACGCCCATGCGGGCGTTGGCAAACGAGCGTGTATTCTTGCAGGCCTGCGTCGGCTTCAGGCAGAGATTCTCAAAGTAATCGGTGCCCTGGGCATCGACCAGCTGCACAAACTGGCCGGAGCTGCGTCGGTCCGAGTCGCTCAGCACGCATTTCATGTTATTGTAGTCGTATTCCACGGATCGGCAGATGAAGCGTTTCTCGTTCAAGCAGGCAGAGAGGCAGGCCTCCTTGGTGCTGGTGTAGATGAGGGCATTGTCCAGGCCACGGATTATCTTATTGGGCACACGCTCAAACGACCACGGACGATGGCAGACATTCTCGCTGCGCAACTGCAGCTTCACCATGTAGTACATGTTGGCGGAACGCTGTGGCGCCGCCGACGGATTGGCCGCCGAGGAATCGTTCTGCAGCTGGCAGTGTGTCTCCTGCGACGGTGACAGTGGATTCACAACGAAACTGAATGCCGCCGCCTGGCAGTCGGCCTCCTCGCGACACCAACCCTGGCACTCGTACAGCGACAGATTTTTGACGCTATAGTACGTTGTGCCGGCAAAATCGAAATCTGTCAGCTTCTCGAAGGCCATGCGTGCGGAGACCTGCGCCGGCAACACCATCAGCATGGCCAGTCCGAGCGAGATCAGCAACATGCCGCCGCCGACGCTGCCAGAGATCGTTGTCCTCGTCGATGCCCGTCTTGCTGCTTGCTGTTCCTGTTCTCTTCTACTGCGATTGCGCCGGCAACTGCTGCTATTTGCTGCGTTTTGCATCTGCAAGTGGAAGAAAAACAAGTAAATGCTTAGTTGTGGTTGCAGTTTTTCTATTCTTTTTTCCCATTTGCTGCATTTTTTACGGTAGACAACTTTAGTCCGCAGCTGAGAAACGTGTATTCTAAAGACAGGTGTACATGTGAACAGATATTTTAACAAAAATATACAAATATATGGATAGATATATATATATAGAGAGAGAGAGAAAGAGAGAGTTAGCAGAAGAGGGATCCAAAGATGGAAAATCGTGCGCAGAGTTCGGACTAAAGCAGAAATCGTTGATAAATGCATTTTAAAACTATATTTGTGCAATCTGCAAACTAGCCGCAACAAGTTAATTATCAAAAATCTCTATTGTACTCAAAAGTCAAGAGAAAAAACAAATGCCTCTCGCACTCGGCGACCTGCTCGTGAAATAACTACCAAAGATCTGGCCCGCAAAGCACTGAAAGTTGTGAAGCTGACGAACAAGGCTTATTTGGACACACACTGGAAGAAGCAGCCGCTGGGCACAACAAATGGGGCAGCAAAAGCAGTTCGATGCTAAAAACTGCTGCTGCTGGCCGATTAGCAACAACGATATAAACAATATATATAAATGGCCAATGCAAAAGTGGTCGACGATGCGGCGAACAGCAAGCGTAAGCTGAAAACCCTGAGCCACAATCACAACCACACCTCTTCCACCAATCCTCCTGTCACCACATCCCATCCAATCCAACGTACAGTTGCAGCAGCAGCATCCAAACAAAAGTCCACAGCCGATGGGGAAAAGGTTGACTTGGCCAGGCTGCCACAGTTGCGCAACAACGTGCCACAGGCAACAGCAGCTGCAGAAAAACAACAACAACCAACAACAACAACAGTGGCCCTGTCCAGTCGTCGTCTGGCTTATGTGGATTGATGCGTATGATTGGGAAAAATCAGATTTTAGTCTCTGAATACATGAACATGATATTTTTGACTATCTGTACGAGTTGCAGGAGGAGCAGCCCATCTACCCGGATTACTTGGAAGAGTCGCAGTCGCAGGTGTCGTATAAGATGCGTGCCATCCTCAACGATTGCATCAACGAGATGCATTTGCAATTTCATTTGACAGCGGAGACCTTCCACTTGGCCGTCGCCATTATCGACCCCTACTGCAGGTGTTGAAGGACACCAAACGCAACAATCTGCATCTGGTCGGCGTCTACGCACTGTTCATAGCCACCAAATATGAGGAGCTCTTTGCCAACGGCCAGGTGTGACCTTGTCCACATTACGAATGAATGGAGCTGCTCATAATCAAGGCGATCGATAACAATCTGTCGCCTCGAAGGCAGCCATTGCTGATGATTATCATCGTGCCTCGTCCAAGTACTTCTTGGAACTGGCCAGAAGGAAAACACGACAAAAATTAGGCAAACGTTTGCCATAGCCTATGCATATTATTATTATTATTAATATTGTAGTAAGTTCTACGAATTGTGTTTCACGTAATTAAACAATTAAAATAAAAGTTTTTAACATTTTTTTTGATTACCTAAAAATTCCATTGAAATCAGAGAAAATTATGATAGTGTTTGACTTCAGTTGTTCAACAGTCTTTGGGTAATTGTAGCCAGAAATGTAAATATTTTGGAATTTATAAATATATTTTGCGGTTGTATATATTGGCCGCCAGGTGGCAGCAGGCATTTTGCTAATTGCAAACGATGTCAGCAAATGAGACTAGAAAACTGGGAAACTGGAAAGCTGGGGAGCTGTGGAGCTGCGGCTATACAGACATCCGCTCCATTACACGCTTAACTGAGCACACAGCAAACCAGCGAACCAATAAGAACTATTTCAACGCCCCTGAGCTTACCTGCCTCCCGCCCACTGGCTGGGGAGCAAGCAAGTTCGTTGGCTGCATTTGCTGAGAGTTTAATGAGCTGCTGCCCGGCGGAAATTACAATGGCCTGAAGCTGAAGTAGCGTTCCACTTGCGCGCCAACGTCGTCTTTTTATTGACGATCTGCGGTTTGAAATTCTAATGGACGCATTTCCAATTCCCCAAACCCAAACCCAAACCTTAACCTAAGCCCAGACGCAAAGCCCAAACTTAATGCTGAGTGACTGAAGCCAAGCAGCTATTGAGTTCGCATTCCTGTGGCTTTTTGAGTTGAGCATGCTGCAAATTGGTTTTTTGCGCTCAAGCAGCTGCTTTTGTGGATGCCATAATTAGTGTCTGACCCCAAATTGGGCACATGCGGGGGCAAGCATTGACCCAAAAGGTGCAGGTCCCGGTCCCGGACCCGACACAGCCTCTGCTCGGCACAGCAGCAATTGAAAAGCGAAAGCTTGATTCTATTTGGCTCCCATCTGAAATCAGTTGCCAACTCATTCATATTAATAGCGCACAATTCATGAGTCTGGGGCATGAATGATTCAAGTGCGCACTCACATTATTATCACCATTCAGTACTCCGCACTCAGCAGTCAGCACTTGACACTCGCTTGGTAAATCAATCAAGTGCCCAAGCAGAGCTGTCAATTCATTGCAAATGCGAATGAATATTATCTCAATTCAATCATGCACTCACTCCAGCATTTATCAGCCATGAGTTGGCTTAATGTCATCAACGATGCGATTAATCTATCTAGCTATCTAACAATGGGCTTAGATCTACCTCTCTATCCATGCATCCATCCATCCATCCATCGTGTATCGTGGATGTAATAAAAGATGCATGGCTGCATCTTCAACAGAGGTTTGCTAACCCTTTCCTGATTGAGAAATCATGTTTATGATAGTGGTGCTAAAATCTATTAAAATGCATTTCACATAGCAATGTTAGTATTGTTAATTTAAGAAATAGAAAACTATTGGGTGTAGAATATAATCTAAAGGTTGTAGTGTATCCGGTATATGTATAATAGCGAGTGAATGTAAATGGACTCATCAGTGCCATACTCAACTCATTCATTTCAATAATTGTGTACATATTCATATTGTTATTTGTTATTTGTTGTTTGTTATTTGTATGTTTGGCAGTACACTTGTTATTCATGATTCTTTCTGACACTCGACTCAATTCGTGCATCGACATTAACTATTCGCTAACTGTACTCATTTGCATTTGAGTGCATAATGAGTGCTGCAAATGGCCAATGCCATGCGGAAGTCTTTGCCAGCGTTGCCATATATGTGTATGAGTGCATGCGAAACGATACCGATAGCTATAGCTATAGCTATCTATATATATATATATATATAGCTATATAGCGATACCGATAACCAACTGCAGTTGCGTTTAGAGCGGCATTAAGGCTTAAATTTATGGATTTTTAAACGCCCACAAAGCAGTGAGTTGGGAACTGGTGAACAGGTAGCTTGCCAGCCAGCTAGATGGGTGCATTGTGACTCCGCTATGCAATTATATTTACATATTCAATTCAATTTGTTTGCTGAACTGTCCCAGCCAAGTGGGCAGCCAGCATGCAGAGCTTCTTTCTTGCTGTTTGTTGCTTGTTGCTTGTTGTTTGCTGCTTGTTGTTTGCTGTTTGTTACTTGCATACCGCAATTATTTATACGAGCGTATTTATAAGTTATACTAGTACCAGTACTAGTACTATCGCTAGACCCTCTGGGCTAAAATGAAACAAAATACAAAAAAAAAAAGCAAAAGAAAACCAAATGCAGAGGGAGTGAGGGAGAGAGCGAGTGACTGAGTTGGAGATGGAGATGGAGGGGTGGTGGCTCACCAATGATTACAGTGCTCGGAACGTGGCTATTACAAACAATATTAACTCACAGGTTGCCAGCGAGAACCGCGAAATGCGCGCTTCGAATTCAAGCAATCGTTGCCGCCGTTTCCAATTGTAGCAGCAGCAGCAGCAGCAAAAAACGATGCTACAACTGGCAACAGCAACATCAAAAGCAACATGAACAACATTGACAACGACAATAGCAACAGCAACAGCAAACAGCAACAGCAAACAGCAACAGCAGCGACAACAAATGTTGCCACGATGTATGAAATAGGTGGCAAACACAGTCAGCGGAATGTGTAGCGTGTTCTTAACCAAAGCGACAGCAGCAACAATAACAACAACAACCACAACAGCAACAACAGCAAGAAAATAGCCACCACCAGCATCGCTGGGAGCCGTTGTAACTTTTCATACCCTTTCAAAGGGCGTTCAAATTTCTTAACAAAATGTGTGACGGTCCAAGACGAAGGCATCTGCAAGCTCGTTAATATAAATATATATATTCTTGACTAGTAGCAGCTGGCATTCTTTAGTTTGATTGTCATTTCATATAGAATTGAATAGAAATGATATTTAGCAAAGATCCAAGTATATCCAAGTATATACAAAAGCTGGCACAAAGGGTATTTGGTTATCGGCCCACTGAAGCAAACCATTTGTTCTTGTCCATTTCCTTGCTTGTTTGTTGCTCGGACTCTGTGAGTTCATGTTCTAGAATTGGCAATCTGCATGAGAGTGCACAGCAACAATCCCAGTCGCAGTCCCAGTGCCACTCCCGGCTCCAGCAAGGCTTCAGCTCCAGGTCGAGCTCCAGCTGTAGCTGGAAATGAAATGCGTTTGGATTGCAAGGCGAATGCGAAGGGGATTGCAAGTGGAGTGAGAGAGTGAGAGAGGGGGGAGGGTGGGGACGTATGCCAATTACATGGGCACAGTCGAGTGATCTGCCTGCGCAGATAAAACGCAGAACGTGAAACGCATTCGTTCGCATTCGAATTTGACGTCATTGCCACCGCGTGTTGCCCTTGTTGCAAGTGGTACAAGTGGTTTTGCTGGCATCTTGTTCGCGATTCGTTTTATTTTTAGCCAAATTGCGTTTATTTTTGGGGTGTCCTTGGCT